GCAGGAGGAGGGGGTCATGTTAATGAGGAGGTAGAGGAGGAGCAGGAGGAGGGGGTCATGTTAATGAGGAGGTAGAGGAGGAGCAGGAGGAGGGGGTCATGTTAATGAGGAGGTAGAGGAGGAGCAGGAGGACGGGGTCATGTTAATGAGGAGGTAGAGGAGGAGCAGGAGGAGGGGGTCATGTTAATGAGGAGGTAGAGGAGGAGCAGGAGGAGGGGGTCATGTTAATGAGGAGGTAGAGGAGGAGCAGGAGGAGGGGGTCATGTTAATGAAGAGGTAGAGGAGGAGCAGGAGGAGGGGGTCATGTTAATGAGGAGGAGCAGGAGGAGGGGGTCATGTTAATGAGGAGGTAGAGGAGGAGCAGGAGGAGGGGGTCATGTTAATGAGGAGGAGCAGGAGGAGGGGGTCATGTTAATGAGGAGGTAGAGGAGGAGCAGGAGGAGGGGGTCATGTTAATGAGGAGGTAGAGGAGGAGCAGGAGGAGGGGGTCATGTAATGAGGAGGAGCAGGAGGAGGGGGTCATGTTAATGAGGAGGTAGAGGAGGAGCAGGAGGACGGGGTCATGTTAATGAGGAGGTAGAGGAGGAGCAGGAGGAGGGGGTCATGTTAATGAGGAGGTAGAGGAGGAGCAGGAGGAGGGGGTCATGTTAATGAGGAGGTAGAGGAGGAGGGGGTCATGTTAATGAGGAGGTAGAGGAGGAGCAGGAGGAGGGGGTCATGTTAATGAGGAGGTAGAGGAGGAGGGGGTCATGTTAATGAGGAGGTAGAGGAGGAGCAGGAGGAGGGGGTCATGTTAATGAGGAGGTAGAGGAGGAGCAGGAGGAGGGGGTCATGTTAATGAGGAGGTAGAGGAGGAGGGGGTCATGTTAATGAGGAGGTAGAGGAGGAGCAGGAGGAGGGGGTCATGTTAATGAGGAGGTAGAGGAGGAGCAGGAGGAGGGGGTCATGTTAATGAGGAGGTAGAGGAGGAGCAGGAGGAGGGGGTCATGTTAATGAGGAGGTAGAGGAGGAGCAGGAGGAGGGGGTCATGTTAATGAGGAGGAGCAGGAGGAGGGGGTCATGTTAATGAGGAGGTAGAGGAGGAGCAGGAGGACGGGGTCATGTTAATGAGGAGGTAGAGGAGGAGCAGGAGGAGGGGGTCATGTTAATGAGGAGGAGCAGGAGGAGGGGGTCATGTTAATGAGGAGGTAGAGGAGGAGCAGGAGGAGGGGGTCATGTTAATGAGGAGGAGCAGGAGGAGGGGGTCATGTTAATGAGGAGGTAGAGGAGGAGCAGGAGGAGGGGGTCATGTTAATGAGGAGGAGCAGGAGGAGGGGGTCATGTTAATGAGGAGGTAGAGGAGGAGCAGGAGGAGGGGGTCATGTTAATGAGGAGGTAGAGGAGGAGCAGGAGGAGGGGGTCATGTTAATGAGGAGGTAGAGGAGGAGCAGGAGGACGGGGTCATGTTAATGAGGAGGTAGAGGAGGAGCAGGAGGAGGGGGTCATGTTAATGAGGAGGTAGAGGAGGAGGGGGTCATGTTAATGAGGAGGTAGAGGAGGAGCAGGAGGAGGGGGTCATGTTAATGAGGAGGTAGAGGAGGAGCAGGAGGAGGGGGTCATGTTAATGAGGAGGTAGAGGAGGAGCAGGAGGAGGGGGTCATGTTAATGAGGAGGTAGAGGAGGAGCAGGAGGAGGGGGTCATGTTAATGAGGAGGTAGAGGAGGAGCAGGAGGAGGGGGTCATGTTAATGAGGAGGTAGAGGAGGAGCAGGAGGAGGGGGTCATGTTAATGAGGAGGTAGAGGAGGAGCAGGTAACTGGATCCAGACCAAACACTGACAGTGTTTTTTTAGAATGAAATGGATTATTGTTAGTCATATTTATTACTGATGTTCTTCTTGTTCACATGTAGCTGCACAATCAGGGTCCAGCACAGGGGAGCTGAGCAGGGAGAGGCCTGCTATATTTTTATGAGACTGCATCGTAGTTTTTGAGTATATTTAAGTATTTTAGCCCTCTGACTGACTCAGGTTTGCCTGACCTGGTCTTGTTCTGGCAGGTGTCACCATGAAGTTTCTAGCAGGTCTTCAGCATAATCTGATTCACTGTATACAACTGTCTGTCTCAAAACCGCGACAAAAAAGAACAGTACGATGACACAAAACTGCAGTAAAAGTATTCCATTACTTTTATTCTTCAAACCAACAGAAACAAATATTCAAACGATCCTATGAAGCGTGATAATCAGTGGCTCAGTCTTGTCTGCAGGTTTGCTTGAAGGAACAGTGAGCGGAGCGTTGTATGGTGAAAGGGGCGCGGAGCATCGGGAACAGGGTTTCCCTCCAGCCCTCAGTGCAGAACATGAGACGCGCTTTTATAGGTACTGGAGAACACCGGGCCCAGGTGAGTCCAACAGGCTACCTGATGATCTTAACCACACCTACTGGCATCTGCAGCAGAGAACACAAAGAGATGGACGTCAACCAACAAAAACTAACACGTATTAATATAACTGCAAAAATATTTCTGCCTCCCACAAAGCAGGCTGGATGAAGCGTCTCCACAGAGACACTCTGCGCCTTTACGCACGAGCCACAGCAGGGATGTACAAATCCCGGAGAGGCCTTTCTCAAAGTTTCAGTCCCAGTATCCCTGCTGTGGCTCTACGCTGTGCGTAAATGCGCAGAGCGTCTCTGGGGAGACGCTTCATCCAGCCGCTATTTAATGTTCATTTTTACAATCGTGCTGCCACACATCACATTCAACAACAACAACAACAGCATCAGTGATCAGGGCTGGACTGGGACAAAACATCCGCCCTGGCATTTTTGGCCCATGTAAGGGCTCAGAGGAGGCGGCTGACGAAACGCTTGAGCCCAAGTCCACGGCCGTGGACTTAATGCCTTCACTGACTGTCGGACATTTTGAATTCTCCCGCAGAGAAAACTCACACTTTATTGGTTAGTGGGGAGCGAAGAATTTAATATATTCTAATATGAGACAAAAACACTCCACGCGCTCCAATTTAGTTTAATTTAAAAGACCCAAAAACTGGAACAAATCCAGTTCAACTTCCTGTAAGAGAAACTTCCGAGATAACGCAGAAACTCGCGCGATCCCGTTTGCTGCTCTTTTGCGCGCTCCGTCTCGCACGCGCACACGTGCACGTGTCTAAAATCAAGATTTATTTTTTGTTCCGCGGCCAAAAACTTTGTTTAATTCAGATAAACAATAATTATCAAACTGATGTCAAGTCAAAGTTTAATAAGTTTAATCAGCGTTAATATGAAGTGATGAACAAATTCTGCATTATGAGAACTTTTACTTTTGAGTATTAGCAGCTTACTTTTAAAAGCAGGACTTGAATATTAGTACTTTTTAGAGAAGTACCGACTGAGTACTTCCGGTCAGTTAACACATTTATGAAGGAAAATAAAAATACAAAATAAAACTCACAAATCAAATCAAACAAAATATATAGAAATGAAAAAGCAGCCGGTAAGACAGCAGCTGTGATGGCCGAGTGGTTAAGGCGTTGGACTTGAAATCCAATGGGGTCTCCCCGCGCAGGTTCGAACCCTGCTCGCAGCGATGAGTTCCGTGCCGGACGTGACGTTTTTAAGCCACGCCTCCGGACAGCCTGGTGAACAGGTGAGTTTTCTGTGTTCCAGCAATATTATAGTTTTGTCAACGAAGGTTTAGTCTGTTCAACATCTCGAGGGTGGATAATAATACTAATACTATCAATAATAATAGTAATAATAAATATAATAAAGGTTATTTATAAAGCAGAAATTACAAAGTTTAAATAGAAAGAACAAAGGATAGAACGCATGTGAATCACCTACACCTTCAATCCTTATATTTATACTCCTATTTAAATACATTTATCTATCTACTTTTGACAAGTGTGCAAATGAGCTTCCACCGCGATCAACACCGCTCAGCGATCAACACCGCTCTTGTGAGGTCTTCGGCCAGGTATCAGGTGGATCCATCAGCTTTCTCCTCCCTCACTCGGAGGCTGGTGACTTTATTTTACTGATTGATTTAAAGGCACCTTTGATTTTCTCATCAGGACTGAATTAGAGTTTAGTTTCTGTGGATTTAATGAGACGTTATGAGAGAAACTGTTTCAAATTTGATTTTAATACTCAGGCTTAATCTTTTTTTAAGGATTTAAATCCTTTGCAGCTCTCAACATTATCAGCACTCAGTGTTATTAGCATGAATTCTTTACACTTCAGTCACATAACGATATGAAGTCCAACACCTGCTAGCTAGCTAATGTCAGTTAGCTATGGGTTGGACAATGAGTCAGCGTTACGTAGCAGCAGCGTACAATTGGTTTTACTCATGTATTCTTCGGTTTTATTCTTTAATTCGAAGACTTGACCAATATGCTAATATTCCACAAGTCTCGGTTAGCTCTTTACCTTATGAGCTAACAAGCTGGTTAAAAGAAAAGCTCATCCGTTGGGAAAAGTACATACATTTTCTCAGAAGCTAACATTAGCGTAAAGGCTCCTTTCCACTGTGCCAGTTTAAAGTTTGATGGTCTTTGCTTTTTATTCTTCAGGATTTATTTTTCTGATTAGCTTACTGTGGTCAATGCTCGCCAAGCTCCACTGCTGTTCTAGCTTGTGTTAGCTTGTTAACCTCAGATAGCTAATGCGCCAACAACACAGCTCTTTAAACAATGCAGATCTAAAGGTGTGGCAAAAAATTAGGATTACTTTATAAGTAAAAGCATCATGTTACATACTGTAGAAATACAAATATATTCCACATATTTTATTTTTTCAACATTTCTATTGTTTCCATTTCTTTAATGGCCTTTATTAGCAACACGACATCAATTTCCCCTCAGGGAATAATAATGTATTTCTGCTGCAGTGAAAGTGCCTCAGAGCTGAACAGCTTTTAATATAAAATGTTTAATGACTTATTAGCATGTGCACACCATCTTTAAATCTATAACTTCCTTTATGTTAAATCTCTCTTCAGGAACAAACACAGGAGGTAAAAACAAACCCATTGCTTCTTTATTAGTTAGTCATTTTACAGTAGTCACTCATACGTAGCTGCCTTGAGTTGGTCTTTTTGTGTCTTTTTACTTTTTGTTCCAACATCTTCCTCATTTTTTTTTTTCTCCAACAACACAAAGGAAGAGTCATGGACAAAGTATAAAAACAGAACAAAAAGCAAAACAGAGAAAAACACGGGATAAAAATGCCCCTTTTCACAACAAAAACCACATTTGGCAAAAAGGTGAGGATGAAGATGATCCAGTGAATCTTTAAAACATCGATAAAGACACGTTTTACTAAGACAGAGACGGGGAGATGTGTCCGGGCATCTGATTGGATAAGAGCTTTCAGAAGTCAAGGGATTATCGTCCAATCAGATTTGATCTCCTCGCTTGTTGCTAGATGAAGTTTAAAGATATGCATCAGAGAGCGCGAGGCATCGATGCTCCCGCGTTACAGTCACAGTAAAAAACAAACAAACAAACAAAACAAACAAGTAAATCACAACAGAATACAAAAAAATAAAATATAAAAACTGACCCATTCAGAAACATTGATCTGGTGTGTTTATGGCACAACAAGGCGTTTGGCTGGCGGGCAGCACGACATCATGGCGGTTTAAAACTGATCTAACACTTTATTTCCTGGACGACAGCAGGTCCAACACCTCCACCAGCTAGCATAAAGGACACATCACCTCTACTGCACTGCTACACGTTTTATCAACAAGAATCAGGGCTGTAATCAATGATCAATTAGTCAGCAAGTGTCTGATAACGGTGAGAAACGTGCCTCACAAGTTGTGGCCCGAAACCTGAATAGATGAAGTTTACAAAGATGTAACGACAGCTTGTTCTGTAGCGGACTAACACCTGCTAGCTAGCTAGCTAGCAAACGTCAGCTAGCGATGCAAGACAATGAGTCGGCAGTTTTCCCCCAATCAGAATTCGTTTTACTTATTTGTTGTTATCAGGTTTTATTATTTCAATTAACGAGTTGAACAATAAAACCAGCACGCTGTAAACATGTAAAAGAGCTGACATGTAACAAGCCAGAGTTTCTACCTAGCATACTAATGAGCTAAAATGTTAGCTCGTTAGAAGTAAATCTTAATTAGCTTGCTCGATAATATTAGCTAGCTGGTTTTACCGGGGGTTTTCCCGCTCTCGCCTCAATAGATTATGTTATACGTTTTTCTCGGAGAACAGTGCAGCAAAGGTAACGCGACAATACCTGTGACAGCTAGCTTATATGAAAACTGTGACGCTAACATGATCCTGTGCAGCTAACGTTGAACACGCCAACCAACATGCTAGCCGGCACAAGGCGACCAATCTACTGAACTCTACCCTGACAAAACTAATATTCAGTATTCTTTCGTTATAATAACTGTATACGTTTGGCTGTTTGATTTGTCGTGTGCATCTGAAAATACAACAATATGAAATATGATAACATTTCCCCCCCACAGTTCATACATGAAACAAACATCAGTGCTGAGGTGAAGACAGGAATCTGCTCTTCATCAGAAACATCAGGGCGTCATTTATGAAAACATCCGTTTGTCTTTACGACCAAAATCTGCTGATTCTAATCATAAAAATCAGTAACTTTGCATTGATTTCTTGCTTTTTCTGCGACACCAAACTTTGATCCCGACAAGATTTTTCATAAGAGAGGCTCCTGAGAAAAACTACAGACGGCCATTTAAGCCAAGAAAACACAGATTTAAAAAAAATTAGAAGAAGCAAATGCTCTTAATGTGAAATAATAATTATGAGATGGAAAATCCAGATGATGGGAAAATGTGTCTGACTCGAGTGTCTGTCGATTTTACCTTTCATAAATCAGAATAATAAGATTCTCAGTCCAGATTAGATCAGAATGTATTAAAGACAGACAAAATTTTCTTTTAAGATTATGACCTGAGATGTAAAAACATGACATCTCATAATTATCCATCAGCTTTTCTGCCTTTATTATTTCCGACTGTGTCGTCGTCTTCTTCTCCTGGCGGAAACAATCGTCCACAGCGAACAGTTTCCAATTCGTCGATGTGATTTTAACAATGCAGATTTTGGAAAACAAACATGAAACAGAGTCAGTAACAAAAGCAGCGTGAAACACTGTTTCTGCAGGAATGTGTGCACTGGATGGGAGCGCTGCTGTGGCACCAGAATAAATTAAAAACACCTGACTTTAAGAGAAACTAAGAAAAAAATACTCCTGAGAAAACATGATCAATCGCTTCTGATCGGGCGGGCGGCGGAGGGGGTGGAGCCAACAAAACATAAGAGGGGGACATGAATGATCGAGGCGAATGTTGAAGACACTGAGGCTCTCGCGCACACGCACACACGCGCACACGCACACGCACACACACACACACACCCCTGAACGACCTCCACCTGCGACGCCCAGAAAACAAACAGATCTGAAGCCGCCGGTTTCTGACGTTCCTGGTTAGCTTAGCTTAGCACAAAGACTGGAAGCAGGGGGAAACAGCTAGCCTAGCGCCGTCAAGAGGGTCCAGCTTCCAGCAGCTCCGGGTTCCAAGCCGTTTACTGACCAGGAGCGGAAATCTAAACGCGAAGAGGTGAAGTTAACAACCCGCTGGATGTCAGAGCTCAGCACAGGCAGCTGTCAAGCTCTGCTCAGAGTCACGATCAATAATCAGTTCTCCATTAAGGTGATCAGTGCTGTTCACACCGACTGTGCTGCTGGCTGGTTTACACCCCCAGGCTCACCCAGGTAACACTGACGCAGCTGTACATTCACTATGATCCGACACTGAAACAGAAAGTTCTCTCACCAGCGTGAGAATGAATGAACGATGACGCAGCAGGCGTGGTAACAACTTGGCTGGCTGGCCGGTTCAGAGCTGCAGCGACAAGTCGATTAATCGATTAAGAGTCCTTTTTAAAGTTTCTCTGATTCCAGCTTGTTAAATCTGAATATTTCCTGGTTTCTTTGCTCCTCCGAGACAGCAAAGTGAAAATATTTGGGACAGAAAAAGACGTCTTCTTAGGCTCTAAAAAAAACATTGATGAACAACTAATCGATTAATCGAGAAAATAACTGCAGCCCTAGACTGGTTCCAGCCGCTCGTGTCCTCAGACCTGATCACAGAAGACGACTGGCGGCCATCTGATCAGTGGTTAAAGTCGTTTGGACGGTTCAGCTTCTGAAACTGAATCTCTTTGGGTTTCTGAAGCGACTCACGGGAAGTAACGACGTGTGATACTAACGCAGTCTGTCCAGTTTAAGGCAGGAACGATCCTTCTGTGGAGAGAGAGAGGGGTGTTATGGGTAAACTGCACAGGCGCTCTGAATCGTACCAGACTTCATGCAGAAAAGACGGATTTTTATTTATTTATTTTTTTTTTTAGAGCGACAACTGAACATTGAAAGGCGCTCCGTCAGAGGACAACGGACACCGGTTCAGAGACACAGATGCGTTAGCCTAGCTTAGCACAAAGAACTGTTAGCCTAGCTCCTGACCGACACTCTGCAGGAGACGCACACGTCAGAGACGAGCCTGCGAGCTCCCGACTTCCTGTGCGTGTAACCACAGCAACTAAAGCTGGACGACACCAAGTGCTGATCTTCTCCCTGTTGGGCAGCGACCGGCGAGCAGGTGGACGCCTGGCGTGATGATGATTGGTCGTAGGGTGGAAGGACGGAAGGAATGAAGGAGGGAGGGAGGGAGGGAGGAGTGTTGGCGGGCAGCGGGGGGGTCATTTACAGTAAACTACAGATATATACACACACCCAAAATTGTACAGAGAACAAATATGTACATGCTCAGGGTTTCTATTTTTTAACTATCACCCACAACTTTCCCAACATGTGTTCCTCCTCTTCTTCTTCTGTGGTCGCTGTATTCAATGTAACGTCAGGAGAGTGTTGCACAGGTCCCTCCTCCTCCTTCTCCTCCTCTTCCTCACCTGTCTGTAGTGTATTGAAGTGGGAGGCGGGGCTTGTAGGCCGTCTGGACCTTTGACTCAAGTATCACATGACGTGGAGGCGGAGTTTAGCTGTTCTTTAGTAGCGTTCTGTCTTCAGAAGGACAGGACGTGGAGGAGGAGGAGGAAGCAGCGGCCGTGGTGGTGGTGGTGGTTGTAGCGGAGGTGGAGGAAGAGGAGGAGGCGGCGGCAGAGGCGTGGGAGGGGAAGGAGAGCAGCTGTCCGGTCTCGGAGGAGAGGAGGGAGCAGGAGCGCAGGTCGACCGTCTGCAGGGAGGTGCAGCGCCGCAGCAACGGGACACACTGCTCCGTCACCTTCACACAACCTGAGACACACAAACACCGTCAGGGAGGAACGCAGGTACGGCAACACGGAAGGACACGCCACGCGCTGGGGTCTTTATGTCCCCGCCATGTTAAGGCCCCGTGTCCACCAAAGCTTTTTTCCCCCAGCTGAAAACGCCGGGCTGGGAGCGCTACGGCGCGCTTTGGAGGCGCGGCGTTTTTTCCCAGCTGAGATGCTGTGGTTGCTATGATACGCAATATCCGTGGGGGTGATGTGCTGCAAGTCGGCGACCTGGCGGTTTCACCAGGTTGAAAAAACGCGTTGGTGGACACGGGGCCGTTAAGGCGAGACGCTGCAGGTGAACAGGTTAAAGACTCAGTGAGACAATATTCATCTGTATCACAGGTTTTATGTTTAAATATGCAAATGAGGCAGTTTTTAATTTGCATCTATTTCAAGAACTGAAATCTGAACACTGGATTAAGTCAGGTTCAAAATTATTGTTTTATTTTTTCTCGACACATTTAGGATCTCTCTTTTTATTGTTTTATAAATCAGAAAATACTGTCAAAGGCATAAAAAAAATAAATCTGTTTTTGACCTGTTTTGGGGGATAAAATGTGTGAATGAAATACAAACAAACGCCTCATTAAAAACATTCAGAACACAGTCAGGAAGAAAACTGGAAAGTTTGTAAGAGCTGCTGAAGACGAGATTTCAGGCTGTAAAGAAATGTATTATATACGTATAAATTCTACACAATTTTAGTGAAAATCAATATTTACAGAACGAGTATCTAATCAGATCCTCAACAACAACATAGATCATCACGTCCAGACATGAAGCTCTTCACGTTCAGACTCAACCCAGCAGCGAGTCCCGAGTCTCCTCTTCCTCCTCCGAGCTGCAGACAGAAACTAGTAAACGTAAAATCGCTCGTCGGGTTTACAACGCTGAGACTCCACCGTGGTGTTTCAGGTAACGCGAGGCTCAACACACCAGGTTTATGCATAAATATCTGAGTAGAGGAAACGTCTGCTTGCCGCCAGGCTAATTTCAGCCCGTCATCTCGGCTGGAGCTGAACTCAACGTCACCGCCTGGATGAGGGCGAGTTGGGCGGGGGGCGCCGCTGTGAAGGGAAGGCTGGGTTTATAACACAAGACAAAACGAGGGTCACTGCGAAACAGCACGCGCACTATATTCGTTTTATTTTAACTAACTTGATTTTATGATGGTTGGAAGCCAAAATCTAAATCATGATTAAACTTCCAATAATTGCACAGCCCCGGTCGGCGTCTTCCTGGAGGTTCTTCTAACGCGTAGAAACATGGCGGGCAGCATTAACAGGTACACGTGGACCTCGCCACGGCCCTCGGGTCCATGTGACCTTCTTGTTTATTACAGCCTGTTTTTTTCTGCAGCTCCCGGCGGCTGAAGTGTTTCACGCTTTTCAGTTCTTGAGGACTTTATCCAGTTTGTTATTAAATTAATCGTGTGTCTCTTCGTAATATTCCATCAAATCTGATGTTCATTTCTGCATGTTGCTCCTGGATAATTTGCCTAATGTTCTTCAGACCGCAGTAGAAACGCACGACGACGACGGGCTGAAGGAACCTTTTTACTTCCTACTTAAAGTAGATCCTGGGACGTGAAGTCTCGGGTACTTAAGGTGGAAACGCGGCTTTAAAGTTCGCTTGACACTCGCAGACTCGCTGCTGCACTGGGTCACATGTTCCTTCAGCCCGGCCTGTATTTGGGACATCAAGCGGTTTATTCCAGCCAGCGGGACAACAGATCAATTACGAATCATTTACGTGATCTGGCTCAGAGACGGACCGACAGGGTGCCGGTTTGAGTCTGAACGTGAGATCCGGACCGGGCTTCCCGCCCTTCAGCTGCTGCTCGCCATGCGTTTACCTGCCAGGTTGATGTGGGCGAGGCTCTCTCTCAGGGGGGAGATGGGGGAGGAGAGGGTGTGCACCGTCTGGTCGGTGATGTTCCCGCACTGACTCAGGTCTAACCTGGTCAGGTGAGGAACGTAACGCACCAGCAGGCGAGACGACGCGTCCGACAGGTCCAGACCGGCCAACCGCAGCTCCGTCACGTTCTGGAAACGCCCCACTCTGGTCTCACCGTGAGCTGACGGACCAATCAGAGAGCAGAGAGAGTGAGAGACGAGGTAATGAAGTGAGCTGATGGACCAATCAGGGAACACAACATCAGACTGTCTTCACAGACTTCCTGTCCTGTGACGGAGCGTCTCACCTGTCCTGGTGTCAGGTGGGGGGGCCAGCAGCTCTCTCAGGTGCGAGTCTTTGAGGTCCTCCACTCTGCTGAGGTCCAGCAGCTTCAGACAGGGACAGACGGCCTGACACAGAGCGGAGACCGCCGACCACGGACACCCAGATACATTCAGCTCCAGCAGACCTGCAGGGGGTGAAGACCAGAGGTGAGACAGCAGGAGAGACAGCAGGACAGACAGCAGGAGAGACCAGAGGTGAGACAGCAGGAGAGACCACAGGTGAGACAGCAGGAGAGACAGCAGGTGAGACAGCAGGTGAGACAGCAGGAGAGACCAGAGGTGAGACAGCAGGAGAGACCAGAGGTGAGACAGCAGGCGAGACAGCAGGAGAGACAGCAGGAGAGACCAGAGGTGAGACAGCAGGAGAGACCAGAGGTGAGACAGCAGGCGAGACCAGAGGTGAGACAGCAGGCGAGACAGCAGGAGAGACAGCAGGAGAGACAGCAGGAGAGACCAGAGGTGAGACAGCAGGAGAGACCAGAGGTGAGACAGCAGGAGAGACAGCAGGAGAGACCAGAGGTGAGACAGCAGGAGAGACAGCAGGAGAGACCAGAGGTGAGACAGCAGGAGAGACCAGAGGTGAGACAGCAGGAGAGACCAGAGGTGAGACAGCAGGAGAGACCAGAGGTGAGACAGCAGGCGGGACCAGAGGTGAGACAGCAGGCGAGACCAGAGGTGAGACAGCAGGCGAGACAGCAGGCGAGACAGCAGGAGAGACCAGAGGTGAGACAGCAGGCGAGACAGCAGGCGGGACCAGAGGTGAGACAGCAGGCGAGACAGCAGGCGAGACCAGAGGTGAGACAGCAGGCGAGACCAGAGGTGAGACAGCAGGCGAGACCAGAGGTGAGACCAGAGGTGAGACCAGAGGTGAGACCAGAGGTGAGACAGCAGGCGAGACAGCAGGCGGGACCAGAGGTGAGACAGCAGGAGAGACCAGAGGTGAGACAGCAGGAGAGACAGCAGGAGAGACCAGAGGTGAGACAGCAGGCGAGACCAGAGGTGAGACAGCAGGAGAGACAGCAGGAGAGACCAGAGGTGAGACAGCAGGAGAGACCAGAGGTGAGACAGCAGGAGAGACCAGAGGTGAGACAGCAGGAGAGACAGCAGGCGAGACCAGAGGTGAGACAGCAGGAGAGACCAGAGGTGAGACAGCAGGCGAGACCAGAGGTGAGACAGCAGGAGAGACAGCAGGCGAGACAGCAGGCGAGACCAGAGGTGAGACCAGAGGTGAGACCAGAGGTGAGACAGCAGGAGAGACCAGAGGTGAGACAGCAGGAGAGACAGCAGGCGAGACAGCAGGCGAGACCAGAGGTGAGACAGCAGGAGAGACCAGCAGGTGAGACCAGCAGGTAAGACAGCAGGTAAGACCAGAGGTGAGACAGCAGGTGAGACAGCAGGCGAGACAGCAGGCGAGACCAGAGGTGAGACAGCATGAGAGACAGCAGGAGAGACCAGAGGCGAGACAGCAGGCGAGACCAGAGGTGAGACAGCAGGAGAGACAGCAGGCGAGACCAGAGGTGAGACAGCAGGAGAGACAGCAGGCGAGACCAGAGGTGAGACAGCAGGCGAGACCAGAGGTGAGACAGCAGGCGAGACCAGAGGTGAGACAGCAGGTGAGACAGCAGGCGAGACCAGAGGTGAGACATCAGGAGAGACAGCAGGCGAGACAGCAGGCGAGACCAGAGGTGAGACAGCAGGAGAGACAGCAGGCGAGACAGCAGGCGAGACAGCAGGCGAGACAGCAGGAGAGACCAGAGGTGAGACCAGAGGTGAGACAGCAGGAGAGACAGCAGGAGAGACAGCAGGCGAGACCAGAGGTGAGACAGCAGGAGAGACCAGAGGTGAGACCAGCAGGTAAGACAGCAGGAGAGACAGCAGGAGAGACCAGAGGTGAGACAGCAGGCGAGACCAGAGGTGAGACAGCAGGAGAGACCAGAGGTGAGACAGCAGGAGAGACCAGAGGTGAGACAGCAGGCGAGACAGCAGGCGAGACCAGAGGTGAGACAGCAGGAGAGACCAGAGGTGAGACAGCAGGAGAGACAGCAGGCGAGACAGCAGGCGAGACCAGAGGTGAGACAGCAGGAGAGACAGCAGGAGAGACAGCAGGAGAGATCAGAGGTGAGACAGCAGGCGAGACCAGAGGTGAGACAGCAGGCGAGACAGCAGGAGAGACCAGAGGCGAGACAGCAGGAGAGACAGCAGGAGAGACCAGAGGTGAGACAGCAGGCGAGACAGCAGGCGAGACCAGAGGTGAGACAGCAGGAGAGACCAGAGGTGAGACAGCAGGCGAGACAGCAGGCGAGACCAGAGGTGAGACAGCAGGAGAGACCAGAGGTGAGACAGCAGGAGAGACAGCAGGCGAGACAGCAGGCGAGACCAGAGGTGAGACAGCAGGAGAGACAGCAGGAGAGACAGCAGGAGAGATCAGAGGTGAGACAGCAGGCGAGACCAGAGGTGAGACAGCAGGCGAGACAGCAGGAGAGACCAGAGGCGAGACAGCAGGAGAGACAGCAGGAGAGACCAGAGGTGAGACAGCAGGAGAGACCAGAGGTGAGACAGCAGGAGAGACATCAGGCGAGACAGCAGGAGAGACCAGAGGTGAGACAGCAGGAGAGACAGCAGGAGAGACCAGAGGTGAGACAGCAGGAGAGATCAGAGGTGAGACAGCAGGAGAGACCAGAGGCGAGACAGCAGGAGAGACAGCAGGAGAGACCAGAGGTGAGACAGCAGGAGAGACAGCAGGCGAGACCAGAGGTGAGACAGCAGGAGAGACAGCAGGAGAGACCAGAGGTGAGACAGCAGGAGAGACAGCAGGCGAGACCAGAGGTGAGACAGCAGGAGAGACAGCAGGCGAGACCAGAGGTGAGACAGCAGGAGAGACAGCAGGAGAGACCAGAGGTGAGACAGCAGGAGAGACAGCAGGCGAGACCAGAGGTGAGACAGCAGGAGAGACAGCAGGCGAGACCAGAGGTGAGACAGCAGGAGAGACAGCAGGCGAGACCAGAGGTGAGACAGCAGGAGAGACCAGAGGTGAGACAGCAGGAGAGACAGCAGGCGAGACCAGAGGTGAGACAGCAGGCGAGACAGCAGGCAGGTGTTCAAACTAAGAAGAAACCGTTGACCTTAGGGGCCCCTGCTGCTGAATGTAAAGCATAAACTCAAGGTTCACAGATTAAGGGGCCTCTTGGAGCGACAGACGTTTCCTTTCTCTGACTGAACTCATCCAGGTAAACAGGTAAACAGGTAAACAGGAAGTGTGGGCGGCACCTTGTAAGCGGTTGATGAGCCACATCAGCTGTTTCTTGGAGATGTTGGTGTAACCCAGGTTCAGGGAGACGGGCTGTCGGCGGATGATCCCACTCAGCATGGGGGGGGTGATGGAGCGCTGCCGGCTCAGATCGATCTGCGTCCACAGCCTCTTGTCACAACACCTGAGGAGACAGACACACCTGAGACGCTGGGAGGAGGAGCTTACTGATCAGCTGCAGGGACCAACGGGAGACTCTGATCAGGCTGCGTGATGTCACTGATGATGTCACTCACCAGCGGCTCCAGGTGCGGCACACTCTCATGCAGACGCACAGCTCTCTCTGGCTCAGGTGTGTGAACACTCGGAGCCACACGTCACGTGTCATGATGTGGGACGAGCCAGAGTCCAGCGGCAGGCAGCTGGGCTCGGGGCAGGTGGGGGGAGGGCGCACCAGGTGCCGCTCCATCTGGACGGGCCGGGGGGGCGAGGGCACGGCCGGCGGGCTGCGCTTCATCAACTGAGAGCGCGGGGCCAGGCGGGACGGCTGCGAGCAGGGGGACGCCGCCATTGCTGACATCATCAGGCCACCGCCCGGGCCTCCCCCTCCTCCCCCGTTAGAGGTGGGGATGGAGGAGGAAGAGGAGGAGGTGTTTCTGGACGTCTGGTTCTTACTGTTGCTACGGATCTTGTTGCCGCGGCTGCCTTTGGTCCCGCCCCCTCCTCCCCCACTGTGTCTGTGATTGGTCAGAACACCGCTGGCGTTCTCCTTCTCCCCTCCCTCCCTCCCCCCTCCCGTCCCTCCTCGTGTCCGCCCGTTGCGCGCCTCCTGTCCATTGCTGCGCTGCTTCCCTGTGAAGCCCTCGTGCTGCGAGGACGGAGGCATCTGATTGGAGGAGAGGGGTGAGGGCGGCGGGAGGGAGGCGGAGTTTTTCCTGGTCCTGTCAGAGGTGGGCGTGTCCTCCTCTTCTCCGTCCAGCAGTCCTCCTTTCCTTCCTCGCTGAGGTAGCCCCGCCTCTCCTCCTCGCCGCCGAGCCTTCTCCCCGCCTCCCTGCTCCTCCTCCCGTGCCTCCTCCTCCCCCCTCCCCCCCTCGCCCTCCGAGTCCTCGCTGGCGCTGAAGCCCAGCTCGGCCAGGCGCCGCTCCCTCTCCCTCTCTCTCTCCCGCTCGCTGCGACTCCTCTCTCTGTCCGCCCGCCCCCCGCTGCTGTTGCCGTAGACGACAGGAGGAGGCGGGGCAGGGGAGGAGGACGAAGGCGAGGAGCCTCCTCCCGCCTGCTCCCCCCTCAGGGAGTCGTCAGAGTCGGACTCGGAGTCGGACTCGGAGCTGGAGGAGGACGAGGACGAGGACTCGGGCCGGCGCTCCAGCAGACACATCCTCTTGAAGCGCTCCAGTTTCTCCCTGTGATGGGAGCGCTGGTCTGCGCTCGACGTCCCCCCTGCACCTCCTCCTCCTCCCCCACCCCCCGCCCCCCCAGGCTGAGAAGAAGAAGAAGTAGTAGAAGAGGAGCCCTGTGGTCCTCCTGCTCCTCCGGAGGAGGTGGGGCCGTTGGACTCCGCCGCCTCCTGTTTGGGTTTCTGATGGACAGAAGAAAAACTCAGATCAGCAAACACGCAGAGTCCCGCCTCCTTCGTCTGCTCGGGTCAGTCCGTCGGTCTGAACCACAGACGTCCGGCTCGTCTTTCAGATTTAGTCAGAAGTACTCAGACTACCTTAGTTTAGTATGTCCCAGTACACGGATTTCCTACTGAACACGGCCTTCTCTGGCTATCCTGACTGGGTCTGGGTCTCGGTACTCAATACTCTTAAAAATACAGACGTAAACAAGAACACTTTCAGGTGAAAGAGGCGTGTGGTCGTCCAGTAACTGGACATGTCAACTCAAAGCTGCAGCATAAACAGCCGTGCTCATAAGTTTGCATCCCCTGGCAGAAATGTTGGCATTGAAAATACAATGAACACAATTATAAAAGGCAACACTTGTGTTTTTGCCCCCATTCATCATGAGCTAAACTCAAAGGCCCATTTCTCTCAAATATTGTTCACAAATCTGTCAGAATCTGTAAGTTTGCCTTGATCATCCATCCACCTCACAGGTGTGGCATATCAAGATGCTGATCAGACCGCATCGGTATCGCAAAGGTGTGCCTTAGGCTGGCCACAATAAAAGGCCTTAGGCTGGCCACAATAAAAGGCCTTAGGCTGGCCACAATAAAAGGCAACAAGGTGTTTATAAAGATGGACAAGGATATAAACAGATATCCAAAGCCTTGCAAAGGCCACTCAGTACTGTTCAATCACTTACTAAGAAGTGGTAAATTCTGGGATCTCTCGATACCAAGCCAAGGTCAGGTTGACCGAGAAAGATCTCTGCCAAAACTGGCAGAAGAATTGTTCAGATACAAAGAAAAACCCCACAGGTAACGTAAGGAGAAATACAGGCTGCTCTGGTTTTTGCCAGGAGCACAAAATAATGATACTGCATGGTCGAATTGCCAGGAAGAAGCCATTACTGTGCCAACGCCACAGAAAAGCCTGGTTATAATTCTCCCGACAACACCTGGATGCACCACACTGTAAGAGCGTCAACAAGGCCCACAGTGAACAGAACGCCAACCCCACTGTGAAGCATGGTGGACGCTCACTGATGTTTTGCTCTAAAGGCACGGGGGAATCTTGTCAAAACTGATGGCAAGATGAATGCAGCGTGTTATCAGACAATTTGCATTCTTCTGCAAAGATGGGACGCGTGATAATGACCCAAAGCACATGGCCAAGGTGACCCTCCTGTAAATTCGGCAGACGTAATGCATGACATTATTCCTTTCTTTGTATAAATGTCAGTTTGTCCCGGCGTGTTGCAGTACTGGCGTGGAAACTGCTCCGTCGCTAAACAGCAGATCAGCTGCTGAGATCAGGACTTGATTTCAGCTGAACTTTCTGTTGCTGGAGCAGAAACGTTGCATTTCTGAAAGCGCCGTTTAATTTATTGTGTTGACTGTTAATTAGCACGTGCCTGAAACAACCTCAGGTTTAATTTAAAAGTTGATGCCTAAAGGAAAATGCATTGTGTAATTTTGCAATTCATAATCCTAATAGTCAATTATCGAAATAGTCGTTCGTTGCAGCGCTAATGGGCAGCTATACCTCCTGCAAGACTTCAGGGCCTCATGGACAACCATTACAAAAGACTGCACCGCTGTCATTGATGCTAAAGGGGGAAATACACGGTATTAAGAACTAAGGATACGCAGACTTTTGAACAAGGGTCATTTTGTTCTTTGCTGCGATGTTTTATGACCTACAGTTCAATGTGAATCAGAAATAGAAGACATTTGTTTTGCCTACTCGCCCGATCAAAAAGGAATGCAAACTTTTGAGCACAGCTCTATGTGGCTTCTGAGGAGCAGAAACCAGGTCGCGCTGCAGCCACATCTTCATGTTGAATGTACGCAGAGTTCGGCCGGGACACAACAGGTCTTTAGCATCTCGTACCTTTTTGAGGCGTTTCTCGTGGGCGCCCTTCATCTACGAGAGGGACAGGAAGAAGAGACAGAGTCAGAGCTGGGAACAGGTTCAACACATAACATCAGCATCGTGTCCTCAGGCGGTGGACGATCCAGACCTTCTTCTTGGGGCCGCTGTCCTGAGGCAGCTCCTTCTCCTTCTTCCTCTTGTGCCCCCCCTCCGACCTCCCCCCCTCCTCCAGGGAGGGCGGGGCCTTCTTCTTAGGGGGAGGGTCGTCTGTCAGCTTCCAGCGGCCCACCTCGCCGTTATCCAGCCTGCGCTTCCCCGAGCCGTCCGCCTGGTCCTGGACACAGACATGGAGCTGGTTTAACAGTCAGAAACACTGATGGGGACTAAGATGTTGAGTTTTCTAGTGGACTGAAAACGCAATAGATTTTATTGTTCCGTTACCAGAACGTTAAATTCTCTCAATTCATATAAGAAAATGTCGACACTGTGCATCTCCACCGCTTGGTACCAGCTCGACTCGTCTCTGGGTGAAATCTGCTACTTTTTTTAGTATCGCCTCTGTCGAGGTTCCAAGCGGGCTGAGGTCGCGTGGAAACAATGCAGACTGCTGATTGGTCGGAGAAAAATAAGCTCGCTAGCAGCCGGTGTGTTTCCAGCTGAGGTGCTGCTAACGTTAGCTCAGTTTAGCTGCTCAGTTTGTTTTTAGTTCAGGATTCTGCTGCTGGTTGAAACCTCTCCAGAACAAACGGACCGGGTCATTAAAACGTTTAACCTCTGAAGAGATGCTAATGCTTTAGGATGAAGCTGCCTCATTCAGAGGACACCGGGAGCCGACCTCCTACCGTCCGGTAGGAAAGCACCACTAAAGGCTCAGCGAGGGCCCGTGTTTCAGATCAAGAGTGAAGACATAATTATGAGAATTAGAGTCTTTACTTTATAAGAAAACACGTAAACTTAGTATCGTAAGCATCTTTATTTTTTTTATTTAATATTTCTAAGTCAAATTCTAGGAGAAAGAAAATAACTTCCGCTGAACTTTATTTTATTATAAAACTATAACACTTGTGTTGAAATATTGCAGAATTACAACTTTATGCTGTGAAGATTAGTCTTGTAAAATGACCAAGGAGAGCCTAAGCCCCGCCCCTTCCTGCAGACTGCCATGAGACCTGGTTTAAATTGCGTCCTGAATTACACAAATGATGTTTGTCAGTTTTAAAAGATAATTTCAGTTGAGAGACTGAAAATGTGCAATTACAAAGACCACAAAGCCCAATGTCCCGTACGTATCTTTTTCTGGAATAAGGTCACGTGGCAGTCCACAGGAAGGGGCGGGGCTTGGGCTCTCTATATCACACCTTTTGGCCTCGATGGCCTTTGTAGGACCTCTCAGACTATCAGACTCGGCTTTGTTCAGTTTTAATGGAGCTGACCAGAGCCATGCTGTCCCGGGTCCTGGTCTAACGCTTACCTTACTGGTCTTGCCCTCTTTGTGGCACTTGGGACACTCCCAGCAGTTCGGGATCTCATCATTGATGATTCCTTCAGCTTTCCCCATCTGAGGAGACAAACATCTGTCACATACCTTCAATTGCATCGAACAGAAACACACCTGAGTTTACATCCAGGTGAACATCTGTTACTTCCTGCTGCTGCTTCAGAATAAAAGCCCAAACCAATAAATCATCTTTTAACACGAAACAGCTGCAACACGGTCACTTTTACAGGAAAAGGTCTGTTTAGTCCAGCTTTTAAAAAGTGATCAAACGGTCAGCTGGAGTTGATACAGATCATCTGTATTGATCAAACCATCTCGGTTGTCAGTTTGTGACTTCTACGTATAAATAAATGTCCGGTACGTTCCAGCTAATTGAGTTCACACAGAGCTGATGAACGTAAATCTCTCTGTGCTCGCAGTATAGCAGAGGATTTAAATCAGGTGAAGCGGTACCGATGCGTTTTACATACCAGGTAGAACACACACACCTGAGTCTGTATGATAACCAATAAGGCTGATCACTGACCTTCAGACAGCTGGGGTGGATGATCTCGTTGCAGATGGTGCACTCCATCAGAGAGAGGCTGAACTTCTCCTCCTCAGAGTCCACTGTGTCCTCCTTCCCTGCTTCGCCGCACGCAAAGCACACTGCCGTGTGAGGCAGCACAGGCTGGACAGGTAGAGAGGGAGACAGGTGAGTCAGAGTCAGTCAGAGAGACACGCAGGTGAGTCCGAGTCAGACAGAGATAGAGAGACACGCAGGTGAGTCCGAGTCAGACAGAGACACAGGAGAGTCAGACAGACAGAGACACGCAGGTGAGTCAGAATCAGACAGACAGAGAGACGCAGGTGAGTCAGACAGACAGAGAGACGCAGGTGAGTCAGACAGACAGAGAGATGCAGGTGAGTCAGAGTCAGAATCAGACAGAGAGACGCAGGTGAGTCAGAGTCAGAATCAGACAGAGAGACGCAGGTGAGTCAGAGTCAGAATCAGACAGAGAGACGCAGGTGAGTCAGAATCAGACAGAGAGACGCAGGTGAGTCAGAATCAGACAGAGAGACGCAGGTGAGTCAGAATCAGACAGAGAGACGCAGGTGAGTCAGAATCAGACAGAGAGACGCAGGTGAGTCAGAATCAGACAGAGAGACGCAGGTGAGTCAGAATCAGACAGAGAGACGCAGGTGAGTCAGAATCAGACAGAGAGACGCAGGTGAGTCAGAATCAGACAGAGACACGCAGGTGAGTCAGAATCAGACAGAGACACGCAGGTGAGTCAGAATCAGACAGAGACACGCAGGTGAGTCAGAATCAGACAGAGACACAGGTGAGTCAGAATCAGACAGAGACACAGGTGAGTCAGAGTCAGACAGAGACACAGGTGAGTCAGAATCAGACAGAGACACAGGTGAGTCAGAGTCAGACAGAGACACAGGTGAGTCAGAGTCAGACAGAGAGACACAGGTGAGTCAGAATCAGACAGAGAGACACAGGTGAGTCAGAGTCAGACAGGTGTATGGACATTTAGAAACAAAGAGTCTTCAGCCATGCTAGCAGCTTGGCTCTGCTTTGAGCTAAACGCTAATATGATGACCAGCTGCAGAAATGAATCCATCCATGATCCTAAATGTCTCCATTTTACAGCTTCTTACACTTAAATGTGTGTTTTTGTTACCCACAATGCAATCTGACTGCTGGACGTTAGGTCGGGGTGTATTATGCTAGTACTGGCTAACGTAGCCTTCGGTGACATCACACATGTAATAATGATCCTGAGTGTGTTCTGATGCTACAACTGGAACCGAGCTGCTCCTGCTGATGCCAAACCACCAGAGGGCGCTCTCCCCTCCTCCCCCCCTTATGTTCCTTCCCTCCTACACTTCTTCTCCCTCCTCCTCCATAACAGGAACAAAATGAAGAGCAGCAGATCGACTCAGCGGCTCAGTGTGTGTGTTATGGATCAAAGCCAACTCTCGCTCACAGCATCAGCAACCGTCTCTGGTTCCCATGGAAACCCAGCATCCTCTCCCGCTGAAGCTATTTGAAGAACCGACACAGAAACACAACCTGTGTGCGTGTGGCAGTGGATTACATAAACATGTAACTGTAGCCTCGTTAGCTCGTTTGTTCTCGTCTCTTTGTGAGGACGGGTCTTGGTTCTGGAGTGAGGACACCGTGTCCGGTCCTCACTCCTCCGCATCTCTCTCTGCATGTATGAAGCCACTGATCACTGCTGCTCATCAATGGAGTCATTTAATACAACTCAATCTCTCCATTAATGAGAACGTTGATTTATATTTTTAATTTGCTGGACACAGAGCAGACCGGATCTCCACGATCAGGCTAAAAGCTGTCTGTCAAGCAGCGCATTCATTTTCTAACAGTGAAAAATAAATGTTATCAGCCCCGCCCAGCTGAGGGACACCTGTGTGTGCAGTGATAGTAATGGAGTGAACCTCTCGCGCTCTGAGTTGCAGCCAACTTGTTACCCTGCAGTAACGTAGCGGGGGAAGAACACTTGCTCTGTTTGAGTCTGTGAGCTGCTCTTTATCAGCGCCGCTGAAGTTAACATGTGTGAGGATCTGTGGTGAGATTTCTGCCCGATAACAAGTTGTTGGTTAGTTTCACTTTAACATGCAGCCCCAGACTGCGTCGGTCAGGCGGTCTGAAGGGGATCAGCAGAGCAGTAATGTCATGCACAGCAGAGTTAAGGGCAGGTAGACTAATCTAATCTCGTAATATATTTCTTCTGGACCCGTCAAAGAACACAGATATGTGGGAGAGATTCTGAATGTGCAAAAAATTTTGAACTGGAGCAAAAAAAAAGCTGCAGGAGCTTTTAAAGTCCAGGAGTTTCTAACTGAATTAAAATGAATGAATTTCTCATTGAGGTGAAAAGGAGCCACACGCAGATTTAAAGAGGTTACTTCCCCAAACCAAGACACAAACAGGAGGGAGGACTAAATCATGACTCAGCAGATATTAAATGAAAGTGGATCTTATTATATAGTGTTTCCCTTTACATAAATAAAAATATTTCCACATTAAATTGGTGCAGAAAAATGTGTTCATATAATTCTGCTTTGAACATTTCTTGAAAACAGATTTAAAATCACATTACTAATAAAAAGTAATTACAGAGGTGTTAACCTTGAGCTGTGTAATATAAATGGTCCAACCAGTGATTGTGAGGTTATTACTTCATATCCATGAAATCTGCACCACCTCAGCTAAAAGGTTGTGTAAATCAATAAACCACAATAACAGATACATGTACTGAAATTGTGTGATAAATATAAAAATAAAAAACTATAATCAGGCCTGTTTTCTCATTGGCTTTTACAAAATAAACACACAGCATACTGATCCAAAAGATTTCTAAATGGAGAAAGATGAACAAAATATTTTTTAACAGTTATTTGGCTTTCTGTCCTCTGGAACATCATCTGTGGAACACGAAGGCAGCAGCCGTGTCCTGATGTCGTCCTGCACACTAATCATGTACAGTATCTATATATATTTCAGATACTAGTCTGACAGCAGCATGTGTTCGCAGCTCGTACACAAGAAATCAAGTTACTGAACAGGAAACGATGCGAGAACGTCAGCTTCTGTCAGCTGAACAGCTGTGCGGTGGTGATGGTGGATAAGATGTCGTTCATTCCCCCACTGTGACACACCCACCCAGAATTCAAATAAGATGGCAGACAGTGAACGCAGGGTTTGAAACAGGAGGTGGCGCCTGGACTGAAGATGCCCCTGACTTTACCTTCCTTGGAAAACAATGACCTGGATCACAGACGTCCTGCGAACACGCAGTCAGTAAGAGAGCTGAAGCGCCGCCTGGCTACCAGGTCACGTGGACCAATCAGAGCCAACACCGGTCTCGTGTGTTACCAGACCGGCTCAGTGAGTAAAGAGTTTAAACCAGATTCAACTGTTAGAAGCAGCACAGAGGGGAGGTGACCCGTCAATCAAGCTGCTGTGTGTGTGTGTGTGTGTGTGTGCGTGCGTGTGCACGTGTCTCACCGCCGTGCACTGTCTCAGGAGGCAGGACTGCTTCATCCGGCCGGGCCCTCCGAACTTCTTCATGTCCTTACAGAAGTGGCACTCCCCACACTCGGTCCTCATGCAGGCCTGGCAGCGCCGGCACCGCGTCCGCCTGCGCCGCGCCCCACCGCCAGCCCCGCCGCCCAGCGCCTTACTGCCCGACATCCCCGAACAAGTCAGCTGCAGACAGACAACACAGGTACACGGTGACTTCCAGCCTGAACAAGGTCGGTCAGTCAGTCAGAAGATTTTTAAAGCGCACGGAGCTGCTGAAGACGCCACGCTGGAGAACTTATAATATTAATAATCAACTCTAACTATGTTCTGACTTTATATGGGCTCTCCGGGAATATAAATGGCAGATTAATCAATACAATAGTGAAAAGAATCATCATCTGCAGCTCTTAAGGATTCTCGAGCTTTAATGCAGTGAACATGTTTTAAAGTAAATAAAGAGCAGCTGTGCTGCAGCACTCAGTGACACACACGGGCTGATCGTCTTTCTCCAACCAAATCCACCGTTTCAGCGTTTCCCCCTGTTCCTCACTTGTTTTCAAGTTGTTGATGACAGCTAACGGGGGCGGGGCTTTGGCTGTTTGATTAACTGATCAACCACAGTATTGTGATTGGTGGTTCGCTGCTTATCAATGACTGTCGACAAACTGTGAATCCACGAACCCTTAAATCAGCGGGAATTAGTCCCATCAGGCAGATTAGTGACGCGACGTGGCTGGACACGCTGCGGTGTCGATGCTGAAACGATAACTTTGTGCAGCCGTACTACGATGTTTCCTTTTTGACTAAACGTTACCGTCCTGCGCTGTAAGAACTTGTAGACGTTTTAAAATGTAATAATATCCTGAGCAGCTGTGTTTGCAGGCGACCTGCTGACCTGCAGGGAACGAGCAGCTGATCAATACTGATCAATACGGAGCTCTGCAGGCTGAACAGGACAGAAACACTCATCTTTAATTTATAACCCTGCCTGGGGGGGAGGGGTCGCCTCGGATTGGTCAGATTGAGCTGCAAGTGTCGACGCTGGCGGCGAGAAGAGGTCTCCTTCCTTCCAGTGATGTCACATCTAACGTCTCTGCTGCACACCTGTCAGTGCTGCGGGTCAACAGGTCGGGACCATGAACCAGAGCCTGTACGCGGGGCTCCACAGATCCAGCTTCAGCTAACGGGCTGCGCCAACCCAGCGGCGCTCCACAACACCAGGAGAGACGAGAACTAGCAGAACGATGGTTCTTCATCTCCTGCAGAGATGCAATAAACCAAACCTGCACCAGCGATCCGTTGAGACCGGGTCCAGGATTCTGATCGCTGGTGCAGGTTTACTCCAGCAGGGACCCGAGTTCAGTGATTATTCACATCTTCACAGATCATCGGGGACGGGAGGCTTCGGCTCCGAGACCATAAACGTTTAAGATACGACATCACGGTCGTGTGCGTCGATCAGCGTGGTGAGATCATCAGCAGACGCTCAGGAGTCGGAACAGTGATGTTCCCCGCTGCACCTGGTCGCTGCCTGAAAACACCTTCAGACGTGAACAAGCTTTTACTCTTTCATTCATCAGGAACAACACAGATGGATCACCGTCAATTCAAGCTATAAGAACTGTGTGTCCTGCAGGCTGCAGCCTGCAGCCTGCAGCCTGTAGCCGCACGCAGCCTGCAGCCGCAGCAGAACGAAGCCTGCAGCCGCACGCAGCCTGCAGCCGCACGCAGCCTGTAGCCGCACGCAGCCTGCAGCCGCAGCAGAACGAAGCCTGCAGCCGCAGCAGAACGAAGCCTGCAGCCTGCAGCCTGCAGCCGCACGCAGCCTGCAGCCTGCAGCCGCACGCAGCCTGCAGCCGCAGCAGAACGAAGCCTGCAGCCGCACGCAGCCTGCAGCCGCAGCAGAACGAAGCCTGCAGCCGCACGCAGCCTGCAGCCGCACGCAGCCTGCAGCCTGTAGCCACACGCAGCCTGCAGCCTGTAGCCACACGCAGCCTGCAGCCGCACGAAGCCTGCAGCCGCAGCAGCCTGCAGCCTGTAGCCACACGCAGCCTGCAGCCGCACGAAGCCTGCAGCCGCAGCAGCCTGCAGCCGCAGCAGCCTGCAGCCGCAGCAGCCTGCAGCCGCAGCAGAACGCAGCCTGCAGCCACACGCAGCCTGCAGCCGCCTGCAGCCGCAGCAGAACGCAGCCTGCAGCCGCCTGCAGCCGCAGCAGAACGCAGCCTGCAGCCGCCTGCAGCCGCAGCAGAACGCAGCCTGCAGCCGCCTGCAGCCGCAGCAGAACGCAGCCTGCAGCCGGACTCAGCGATTGGCAGATTAACTGATAATGACGGACTGACAGGGAGTTCCAGCTGTTTCACCTCTGCAGATGTTTTATCAAACTTCATCCTGACCTGCTGCAGCTCAGAGTAACCTTTATAAATCGTTGTGGAATACGCCCGTTACAAGGCGACAAAGACTCTTTAGTTTACGCGGAAGATTTTCAGCATTTTGAGAGAACAATGACAGATTAAAAATAAAGTAATGATCTGAGCCGCTGCTGATCGACTGATCGGTGACTAATCGTGTTTATGGAGAGTCACAGATTCTGATTCGTCCCCTCCGGTTCTGAGACGCTGGACGGTTAAATACATGAAACCCCAGGTGTACCGACAGGTGAAGACACACCTGGACACAGCTGGTGTTCGGCTGGACTTGAATGATTGATCAATTATCAAAACAGGTGATTAATTGCCTGTTGATCAAAGCACTGGCTGAGTAATCATGGCAGCTCTGCTGTAAGTCTTTAAATGAACCCTGAACACCTGTTCTGCTCCATGTTGTAGATCACTGCTCTGCTTCTTGTTATGCTAATGTGTGTATTTAAATAGAAGCAGAGTAGAAACTGCACTCTAACGGAACGTGTTGCGTAATCACTATCCTGATGTGCTAATGTTATGTAAACTTCTGTGATAGCGTGAGCAGACCATAACGCGAGCTGCTAGCCAAGAATAATGAAGATGCGCATCTGGCAGCTCTTGCTACACGTTAGCTGCTAGCGGCTAATCACCAGCGCGTCACACTAACCTACATTCAGCCAGCCAACACGAAGGTGCCTGCGCACGTTTACACACGCTGGATACGGTGTTTATTAAAGAATCTGTACTGACACATCCGAGCCGCCCCCATCCCCCCGTAATCACAAACGGTAGCATTACGCGTGCTAACATGTTAGCTCGCCGCTTCCTCTTTCATTATCTCCGCCTCACACCGGGCAGGTTAACAAAAACACAAACACGGCTGGCGGTGAAGGAATAAACCTGCAGCGGGTACAAACCTCTTCGTATCAGGTCGCATACTCCTTGGTGGCTCATTAGAAATAAGATTAGCTAACAGTTAGCCCAACGTTAGCTTCGGTTTAGCGCAGCTAGCCGTCCGCTTCCTTGTTTCTTTCTCCGCCAGGCTGCTGCTCGGCTCCCGGGCTGCTTCACACGCGTCCCATCGCTGTAGCTCCCGGTGCTCCGGCTAGCTCCCGGGCTAGCGTCGCGGTCCCGCTGCTGTGGCTGCAAAATGTCTCGATTACCAAACTGATCGATATCGATAAAGTGAAGGGCGCAGTGCTGCTGCCGGAGTCGTGCCCATTCACTCCCCTCGCTCTCTCGCTCTCTCGCTCTCTCTCTCGCTCTCTCTCTCCCCCCTCTCTCCCCCCTTACAGCGTGCTCCTCCCGTCCTCCCGGGGGGCCGCAAAACACCTAAAATGGCTCATTGTAACGGCAGCGCAGTGTTTTTAATCCACACACGGTGATAACCCTCCGCAGGAACTAGGCCCCGCTGATCATTAAAATGAATATTGTGGATAAAGGGCAGCGCGCGGCTATTGTTCTCCGTGCCTATTGTGTTGGCGCCTGGCTGCGGGGCTGTGCGTGATTCTGTTCGGTGTTGTGAGTCAGTCGGCAATCGATGCGGGCGCGTTTAACCCCCCGCATCGATTACATCACGCAGGTGACTACGGATCGCCTGCCGCGCTCCATTTTGCCTCGCAGGAAGAAGGAAAAATAAAATAAATAAATAATGTTGTAAATAAAATATGGGCAGCGACAAAACACGCACGCGCCACCCCTGCGTGTCTACGTCACAATGCGTCGGATGTAGAATGGCATTTTGGGATTTGTAGTTCTCAATGTGAAGTCGTGTGGAAGTTTCCTGCCTTGATTTGATTGATAGAGTAGTTTATAACAAAAAAAGGAATGACAACAATAAAAAAAAAACTCCTAGTAACTCATAATTATGACATTATAGATCAAATGTTCAAATAATTACATTTGTGAGACGCTAAGGGTGCTTTCACACCTGCCTCATTTAGTTCGGTTGAATCGCACTAGAGTTTGTTTTGCCCCTTGGTTCGCTTGTGGTGTGAAAGCAAACGAACCAAACAGGATTTTATGATAGCAGAGATGTGATCTGAGCATTATTTCCAAAGCTAAACCACTAATAAATCAATCGTCTGACAGTGAAATGTGTTCACGATCTGTTTAAGCCGCTATGTTTATGAAAATCATTTGGTAATGTATACTTGTCATCGCCGATGTTTCCCCTAATTAATAGGTTAAAAGCGTTTACCATGTCAGTTCTTTAAGTCCATATAAAATGTGTGACAGCGATACCACAGTATACTATAGGCTAATAAGCCCCGAATTATTACTGTACATGTTTTTACGTTATTATTCATAACAGGCTCTGCGGTCGATATGCGGTCTAGCATTACTAATCATGCTTATAATGAATTATTACTTCATGAGCTCTTTGCGATACAGATCAGGAGCATTAAAGTGCTGCAGAAACTTCTGTCAGTCAATGGAGTTTGATTTCTCCACGTGGGTCCTGATGATGCAGGATGTCAATCGCCAAAGCTGTCCAATCAAAAAGTTACCTGTCAGTCTGTGTGACGTCATGGTTACTCCTCTGGTTCGTTTGTAAAGCTGCAGTGTGAACATGAACCGGACCAGAACTAAAATGCAACAGTGGATCATTTTTTTCACTTGGTCCGGACCATATGAACCGAACTACAGGTGTGAAAGCGCCCTAAGTCTCAATTTTGACTCATGAAGAGCGAAACTATTTAATACAACTCGTCAAATGCCAAAAGAAAAGCTTTTTGGGATTTGTAGTTTTCAATGTACTACAGCTTTTTTTCAAGTAAATTATCCCGTTATCCCATTATCACTAGAAAATTCCTGAGATAACAGGATAACTGTGCCATGATCTCGAGATACCAGATAAAGTAAAATGATTGTGCACGTGGTCATTTTTTGGCTTCCGTAATTACGTAATAATAAGTACCAATTGAGTTTTAACATGAGCTGCTGTAAGGGTACTGTAATGTTTAGTACCACTGCCAGAGGCAGGACCCTTTTTTTGTAACACCAGGAACTGGAAATGTAGATTACGGAAGCTAGCACAGATGTAAACAAGCAGAACGAGGAATAAAGTGAGTGGAATAAACTGCGTCGACCTGGAATTCTTTATGAAAAGCAGGCAAGCACAACAGTTACAACACAAGGTTGTATAACGAAACAAATGTTTTGATCTTGATAGATAATTAAATGTGTATTAAAATATGGTAAATAAAATAAAACAATACGTACAGTTATTTATATACGTATAGACACGTATCCCCCCGAAACAATTTTGCAGTACAATTTTTGAATTTGCGTCTGGGTGAATGTAAACAGCAGCAACCAGATGATAAAATGAAAGTTTCATCTTCACATTAAACAGTCTGACATTTGTCCATCCTGACTGCGTTTGAGCACCAAGCCCACCTCCTCTCATCTGGGCAGCTCGGAACATGGACCACCTGCCGAGTGCTGGATCCGGGATGTGGATGGACCAGGTCTCTGTAAAGATGTAACAGTCCCTGAGTCCCATTTCGTCCAGACCGGATCTTTAACAGCCGAATCAAGTCCGTGCTGGTCCAACATGGCTCCTATCCCGGCTCTCTTTCCTCTGAGTCTGCTGTTCTTTAATCCTAATCCCCGTCTTCCTTTTCCAGTGACTGTATTTCTGTCAGAGGTAACAAGAGTTTCACAGATAAAGCCGTAAAAAACAATGAAAAACAAAAAAAAATAAACATATAGAAAATATTGAAAATCTAAAGGTTCACACGAGGCTGTAAAATGTTGCCCCCTAAAGAACACCGCTGAAACAACTGGTTCACGGTCGCACCTGCTGTAAAAGTATGTTTATTATCTACTAATAACAATGACGTTAGCTTCAGGAACATTAGTTTCAGGAACATTAGCTAACGTTAACTTCAGCGACGTTAGCTTCAGCAACGTTAGCTTCAGCAACGTTAGCTTCAGGAACGCTGCTGAAACAACAGGTTCACGGTCGCACCTGCTGTAAAAGTATGTTTATTATCTACTAATAACATTGACATTAGTTTCAGGAACATTAGCTAACGTTAACTTCAGCAACGTTATTATATTATATTATGGTGCATTCAAATGCTCCTTGGATAGTCCCATTTCCTGAGTTGTGAAGTTCTTCTGATTCGGTATGTTCATGTGCTTTTAAGACGGAATCTGGAAACAACATGGACGCTGCTACTGTACAAAGATGTGTTTGATTGTCATCCAAGTGTTCTGAAACTGTTCTGAAAAGCTTTCTATTACAAAGTGATTTTTGTCCCCGAGTTGTTACTGCACCTGTTACACTAAAATATTGCTTGTACTGCAAATATTGCTAACAAATAATTTTCCTAATTAATCTTCGTCCTGTGTATCAACATTTTCTCTGACTTTCAGAGATGTTGTTCTGACTTCAGGGGTTGTTATTATTATCCCTACACCACATAAATGCACGGTTAGACTCTCTCTTTTGGTTTGAATAGTTTCATAATAATGACGTATTATGTCAGGGCTTTGAATGACTTTAACTTTTTTTTTTTTTTTTAAACTTTTTATAATTCCCAGATTTTAATTATTTGTGTCTGGCACTAATGATCTTCCATACATTTAAACAGTTTTTCTAACGCTACTGTGAGTTATGACTTAATAATATTGTGAAACATTTGATATATTGACCCCCGCCCCCCCCCACCACCCGGCCTCCCCTGCTAGCTAACAGGCTAGGCTAGCTCTGTTAGCTCCTCTCCTCAGTGTTCATAGTTGAGACGCACCGGCTCCATCAACATCACGGTGCTGTGAGGAACCCGCTCTGTAACCCTTCACACCCGGACCCGGACAGACCGCCGACACACACCGAAGGGACACGAAGTTTAGGCGACACGTTATCAAATAACTGAAGATGATTAAGCTCTTTTCTCTGAAGCAGCAGAAGAAAGACGAGGAATCTGCTGGAGGAAACAGAACAGGAGCCGGGGGTAAAAAAGCCAGCGCGGCCCAGCTCCGAATACAGAAAGGTAGGCTGGTACCGGAACCGGGACCCGGTTAGCTGGTCCTGCCCGCCTGGCAGAGTACTTACCTACAGACCTACAGGACCAGGATACATTCAAACAACACGGCAACTTAAAAAGAGGGCTGTTATTATAACTCAGAGGCTAACAGCTAGCGCGCTAACTTTAGCCTGAAGTGGTGTTAGCACAGCTAGCTTGTTCTATATTTGAAAACAAAACGCAGCCAGACAGTGAGACGCTAGCAGGCATCAGTTAGCGCACAGCTAACACCAAACAACACAGAACCCGGATCACATCCAGCTCTGCCAACCGGCTCTCTGTTCACAGCAGATCACAACAAAACAGCATCTCCTAGGTTGGATTTATTTAGGCTAGCAGGTAGCTTTCAGCAGCTAACCTGCTGTGTCAGCTGTCTGTCTTAATTACCCACAGGGGGGGACACACTTTGATTTAACTGAGGGCAGGGGCAGTTTGATGGGCAGCTACCCACCTAGTGTTGGTGTGTCACTCTTTACTAAAAACCCAAGGAGAGGTGAGTCTCCATCCTGAGGACCAAACGCACACCTGGAGACTGAAACAGACCTGTAAACAGAGGGGACGCCAGGTGAGACGGGTCATGTGAGCAGCTGACGGTGGGCAGGTGGCGTCCTCCATCGGCCTGCGGGCAGACGGACAGATAAACGCCAGATCACAGCGTCTCCTCGCACTCTCAGACTCACCTGGTGAGGAGGTTCAGGTTCACTCTGGAGCTGGACCGCTACGAATCACTTTCCACGCCGTTCAGTTTAAAGATTCACAGTCACTGTTTGGACGACAGGAAGCGCTCGCATCGCCGCCGCTGACGTGTCGCGCTCAGTTCAGTACAAAACCAGCCTATAGGAACGTCACGATGCCAGAACTTTAGTAGTCGATACAGATACCAGTAAATTCAACGATAGATACCGCAGTAAAAAACAAACAAAACAATAAATCCCATCATGCACTTCAACATACACACCTTTTAAAACAAACTGTCAGGTGTGAAATGTTTCAGGGTCGTCTCCGTCTACACTGGCAGTCGTTTGAGATTTTTATCTAAGCAGAACGGATCGTGTTGACCTTTTCAGACCTGCCTAATTCCTCCCGCAGTAACAGCAGCGTTGGACACACGTTCAGTTCTTAGAGCTGCAAACTGCGTCGTCACCTTTGGAGATTTTCTGAATTAGATCCCCAACAGAACTGGGGGAAATCCAGGCTTTGACACGGAGCTGCTGAAGGAAACAGAAACTAACTTCTCCTGGTTTCCAAACTCTTTTCTATTGGTCGAGTTGAAGCTGCAGCTGCGTCTTCCACGGATTGGATCTCCGGGACCTTCAGAACCGAGCAAAACAAGTGCCGACATGTTTTCAGAACTTCGGTATCGGTTCTCGTGACATCCTTAACAGGGGCGTGTGTGGGGCTCAGAGAGAGGCTTCGCCGGTAAAAACGGCAGGAGAAGACAAAAGTCTGGCTGGGCGATACGGTCAAAAAGTTTATCACGATTTAAAAACAAAACTTCACATCATTCGATATCTATAATTATCAGGATAAATGTCCAATCGTTATTTCTTCCAGTTTAAAGGCTGGTTTTTGCTCCCGAGTGAACGTTTTTGTGGTTTTAAACTTTTCTTTGTGGTCACTTGATGCCAAACAGCCGATCACTTCACAAATCTGAGGCAGAACTATTCTGATAAAACCTGTTTTCAAAAAATATGCATGAGGAAAATTAAGGTCTTTTTTTTCAGTCCCTTTTCCTCTACAGAATAAATATCTTAATAGAAACATTAAGTGCTGATTCATTCGTGATTCAGATGAATTCGATCAAATATTTATTGAATATTTGTTATTGACGAGAATAATATTAAGGTAATTATTATTATTGTTTGATAGCCCGGCCCTACGTTAGAGGTTTGTTCGTACTGAGGACGATACGAGAGGTTTCCAGATTCGTGTGAGCTGTTCGTAACGAGCTCACGACACGTTAACGTTCTAATCATTTATAACTGGTCTCTGAGGACGTCCAGGTTTCAGGGGGATTCGCTTTAACCTTAATTTATTCTTGGCAGGTCTCAGAGGAACACCCTGAGCACTCAGGTACACGTTCACACCTGTCCAGTACAACCGCAGACTGACCTGCCGGCCTCTCAGCAGCTCCACGTGGGTGGTTTGGGTTGGGGGCCTCGCTCAGGGATCAGCTTAGAAAACCAGAGGAGGCGCTGCAGGAGCACGCTGAGGACCTTCATGGTTTTAAGTGTCCTTCAGTACCACAGTGATCCGGTGACGGCTGTCTGTGCTAACCGCTAACAGGAGCGGCTAACAGCTGATTCAGCCACTTTAATGGGGACAGTTTGACCACATGTGAACACACACGGGAGAAAATGAATCAGCAGAGTCTCAGTCTGCCAGATTTAAAACGTGATGTCTGATTTTAACGTGTCCTGTAAACAAACTGATGTTTTCTTCCCGTCTGTTTCAGACATCAATGAGCTGAACCTGCCAAAGACGTGTGAGATCAACTTCCCTGATGACGATGACCTCCTCAACTTCAGACTCATCATCTCGCCAGACGAGGTGCGCCGTTCACTTGCTGTCCGGGAAACGGTTTCCCTGCAGGATTGTGGATCTGAAGAATCACGAGCTAAATAAATCTAAAATACTTTTAATGATTCAGAGCAGAGCCAGTTAATGATCAGTATTCTGATCTAGGGATGCACGATTGTGATGTTGTTAACGCGCGATCAGAAAAAGTCTGCTGTGATTGTGAGACTCTCCTCCCAGTTTGCACTGCAGTCTGCTCATTAGCTCCGCCCACACCGGGCTTTCATGTGCGTACAGATAATTATGAACCACAAAAACTCATTTATGGGCAGTGAGCGAGTAACGTTAAAGACAACAAACTACCCTAACCCCCCCTCACCGTCCCGCTGCTAATCGTTCAAAACATATCGGGGCTCGCCTCTAGAGCGGCGAGAGAAAAGCCGGTGGGCGGGTCGCTCTGTGACAGAGACTGTGACGTTACGTGTCGTCGGCAGCTGAAGCGGTGAGACAGAAGAAATCAGGGAGAAGAGAAAGAAGGTTCGGCTTTGGATCGCTGGCCACTTAACATCAGCTGGATCTTTGCCTTTTGTTTTTCAACTTTTCAGTCGCTCCTCGTCAACCGACCAATCACAGCCTGGATGGGGCGGGACATTAGAAAAAGTTTGACGCGCTGCAGCAGATCATTAAATGTTGAACAATATGATTAATGACAAGTTAGTACTTAGGATTAACATATTAGAGACCAATAAAGATAATTTTTCTTGCACAAGTATTAAATAATTAAAAACAACCCACAGAAATGAAACAGCTGTAACTGGATTTAAAGAGGTCATATTCTGCTTTTTGGCTTTTCCCTCTCCTTTATTTAGTTATAAACCTTTTTGTGCTGTAACAGGTTTGCAAAGTGAAAAAGCCCAAAGTGAGTTCCCATCTCCCACAGAAAACTCTGCTCTGAACTGAAAACAGCTCGTTTAGCTTTCATCCCTGTGACGTCACAGGGATAAAAGCTAAACGCGCCTCATATAACGCTCGCCGAACGGCTACTCCGACACGCCCTCAGAAACAGCGAGCTGCAGCACACAGCTCTCCTCTCCCTTCCAAACACTAGCTACCCTCCAGGCAGTCAGTGGACATAAAGTTGTTCCTGTGATGTAGAGACAGAGCTCAGTTAAAACTTTATGGATACAGATTAATAACTCACCGCTCTGAAACTCTCGCTCCAGTCCGTGTCGCCGAGCCGGTCGGCAACACGTACGGCTGAACCCGAGCCGTTTACCGGCTTCTCGCTGACCCGCCCTTCGCTGCTTCTGATTGGCTAGTAGTCCTTAAGTAGGAACTGAGCATGTGCAACTCCCAACAAAGATCATTTAGAGACGAGATGTATCACTCCATAGCTAAAACGAAGCCTTCAACACAGGCTGAAAAGAGGAGCTGCAGCAATGTGCAGTATGACAAAAATATTAAACCATGTAAACCTGCTCTGGTACAAACTCTGAATAAGATGAGGAACCTGAAAATGAGCAGAATACCACCTCGTTAAAATTCAAGCAGTAAAACAGTTTACTATTAAATTAAATTATAATGAATCTAGTAATCAGTATACTAACAGTATACTATTAACTGAACATTATACACTGTGCTCCTTCTAGCCGCCTCCTCCTGAGATCAACACGCTCCCCTTGTTCTGTTTTACTAAAGTTAATTTTATAAATATTGTTTATTGTTTAACTTTGTTCAAGTTGAGAAAAACACATTTCAAAGTCAGTATTTTGTGCATTTTCCTTGATAATTAAGCGAGTAGACTCCATTTGTTCCGACTTTTTCTCCAAGTCGTGCAGCTCTGTTCTGACCCTTTGAGCGCCGCCATGATGTCATGTGTTATAAAGTTTGTAAAACCTTAATTTGAAATGTAACCAGTTGCTATAAAGGCCAGTTTATACGCCTGCGTTGAATCTGCACCGTATTCTGACGAGCACCTCCTCAAAGATTTAACCACACGTCGCTTCTTTTACCGGCTCAGCTTTCGCACATCCCGTCTCCTCCGACGCCTTCTCTTGTTTCTGAGGTTTAGTAATTTCACTAATAATAGAAATAGAAAGTAACTTCAAAAGGAAAAACTGGAGTGAAGTAGAAGCTCCTCAGGAAAGTACTCATTTAGAGTAAATGTACTTCTTTATGCTGATTGTGGTGTGATGATTCTGTCTGTGTCTCACAGGGCTTTTACAAAGGAGGAAAGTTTGTCTTCAGCTTTAAGGTGAGAAACGCCTGTCCTCCTCCTCCTCTACTGTCGCCTGTCCTCCTCCTCCTCTACTGTCGCCTGTCCTCCTCCTCCTCTACTGTCGCCTGTCCTCCTCCTCCTCTACTGTCGCCTGTCCTCCTCCTCCTCTACTGTCGCCTGTCCTCCTCCTCCTCTACTGTCGCCTGTCCTCCTCCTCTACTGTCCTCAGCTGGACTTTGTCCTCACAGCGAGTGACCAGGTGTCTGTGTGTTTCAGGTAGGACAGGGTTACCCCCACGACCCCCCCAAGGTAAAGTGTGAGACGATGGTGTATCACCCCAACATCGACCTGGAGGGAAACGTCTGCCTAAATATCTTAAGGTCAGTCACTTTAAAGGTCCTCAGTCGGTCTGGAGCTCCGCCCCCATCACGTATCAATGAGTATTATTATAAATGAAGATGTAAAGTAAGACGCTAGAAGATATATACATACACACATTAACATGAAAAGGAAGAAGCTTAATTAATCCTACCGGAGACGCAGTACAGGGCTACCTGGCCCAGGTGATCTCTGCCAGGGGATTTTATTCAGGGCCGCCAAACCGAACACTTTAAGCCAGTTTACAGGAAGTTCAGTTGGTTCATGTTTAAACCAGAAACAAGAAGAGAAGAAGACGTAGCAGAAGAAAATGTTCTATTTCTGTGAACGGAGAAATGAAGTCAGTGTTGGGCAAGTTACTCAGGAACTGGAATAAGTTACTAAGTCAAGCAGATTTTATTTCATTGTCTTGACAGCACATGCCGTGCAGCACATGCTGTGCAGAGACGTCCTGGCACATCAGCAAAAAGCTGTAATCTTTTAATATGTTTCTCAGTGAGAATGAGAAGAAGGGTCACATCAGTCAGAATAATCCCAATTGGATATTTTTTCAAAATCGTTCAGCCCTGTTTTCAGTGTCTCATAATACCTAAAGCAAATAACAGAGGCTGTGAACCTAATGTCTTAGGAGCCCCTGAGGGGTCAGTTGTGGTTACCCAGCCTTGATCATAAAACCCGAGGCAGTGCTGATGTCTGGACCCTCAGTGGGAGATGCTGCATTATAAATCTGTGTTTAAACTTCCTGAGCAACATTTGAATGAATGAACCTGCAGGTATAAAACACCTGTGAGGACATGAAGCACCTGTCCTGTCTCTCACCTGTGTCTCACCTATGTCCCGTCTCTCACCTGTGTCTCACCTGTGTCCCGTCTCTCACCTGTGTCTCACCTGTGACCTTTGTCTCACCTCTATCTGTGTGTCCCGTCTCTCTCACCTGTGTCCCGTCTCTCTCACCTGTGGCTCACCTGTGACCTGTGGCTCACCTGTGTCTGTGTCCCGTCTCTCACCTGTATCTGTGTGTCCCGTCTCTCTCACCTGTGTCTCACCTGTGACCTGTGTCTCACTTTTGTCTGTGTGTCCCGTCTCTCTTACCTGTGTCTCACCTGTGACCTGTGTCTCACTTTTGTCTGTCTCGTCTCTCACGTGTCTCACATGTGACCTGTGTCTCCCTTTTTTTTTTTTGCTGTGTCCCGTCTCTCTCACCTGTGTCGCACCTGTGTCTGCGTGCCCCATCTCTCTCACTTGTGTCCCGTCTCTCTCACCTGTGTCTCACCTGTGTCCCGTCATTCTCACCTGTGTCTGTGTCCCGTCATTCTCACCTGTGTCCCGCCTCTCTCGCCTCTGTCTCACCTGTGACCTGTGTCTCACCTGTGTCTGTGTCCCGTCTCTCACCTGTATCTGTGTGTCCTGTCTCTCTCACCTGTGTCGCACCTGTGTCCCGTCTCTCACCTGTGTCTGTGTCCCGTCTCTCACCTGTGTCTGTGTCCCGTCTCTCACCTGTGTCTGTGTCCCGTCTCTCACCTGTGTCTGTGTCCCGTCTCTCTCACGTGTCTCACATGTGACCTGTGTCTCCCTTTTTTTTTGCTGTGTCGCACCTGTGTCTGCGTGCCCCGTCTCTCTCACCTGTGTCTCACCTATGTACCGTCATTCTCACCCGCCTCTCTCACCCGTGTCCCGCCTCTCTCACCCGTGTCCTGCCTCTTTCCCCTGTGTCCCGCCTCTCTCACCTGTCTCACCTGTGTCCCGCCTCTCTCACCTCTGTCCTGTCTCTCTCACCTGTGTCACCTGTGTCCCGTCATTCTCACCTGTGTCACTTGTGTCCCGTCTCTCTCACTTGTGTCCCGTCTTTCTCACCTGTGTCCCATCTCTCTCACCTGTGTCTCACCTGTGACCTGTGTCTGTGTCCCGTCTCTCACCTGTATCTGTGTCACGTCTCTCTCACCTGTGTCTCACCTGTGACCTGTCTCACTTTTGTCTGTGTGTCCCGTCTCGCTCACCTGTGTCGCACCTGTGACCTGTGTTCTCACCTGTGTCACCTGTGTCCCGTCTCTCTCACTTGTGTCTGTGTGTCCCATCTCTCTCACTTGTGTTCGTGTGTCCCATCTCTCTCACCTGTGTCCCATCTCTCTCACCTGTGTCTCACCTGTGACCTGTGTCTCACTTTTGTCTGTGTCCCGTCTCTCACCTTTGTCGCACCTGTGACCCGTGTTCTCACCTGTGTCTGTGTGTCCCGTCTCTCTCACCTGTGTCTCACTTTTGTCTGTGTCTCGTCTCTCTCACCTGTGTCCCGTCAGTCTCACCTGTGTCTGTGTCCCGTCAGTCTCACCTGTCTGTGTCTGTGTCCCGCCTCTCTCACCTGTGTCTCACCTCTGTCCCGCCTCTCTCACCTCTGTCCCGTCTCTCTCACCTCTGTCTCACTTGTGTCTTTGTGTCCTGTCTTTCACCCGCGTCTCTCTCACCCGTGTCTCACCTGTGTCTGTCTTCTGCTCCACAGAGAGGACTGGAAGCCCGTGCTGACGATAAACTCCATCATCTACGGTCTACAGTATCTATTTCTAGTGAGTTCACTGAGGACGTTTCCTTCATGTCTTACTGAGTGTGTTGGAACCTGCTTTGCATTGTCCTGGGGAGCGTCTCAAGGCCCCGCCGCCGCTGCCGCCACAGGTGTAGGTCATGTGACTGACTGAGGTCACCGGTCACCTGCAGAGGACAGCTGGTTATTATACCTGGTTGTAATGAGCTGTTAGTGTTATAGATCTGTAACGCAGGACAAAGGTTGGTTGCTTAATGTGACTCCTCCCCCCTCCAGGAGCCTAACCCCGAGGACCCGTTGAACAAGGAGGCAGCAGAAGTCCTGCAGACGAACCGGCGGCTCTTTGAGCAGAACGTCCATCGTTCTCTGAGGGGCGGCTACGTGGGCGCCACCTACTTCGAGAGGTGTCTTAAATAACTCGACGTCCCAAGATTCTCCAGACCCCCCCCCCCCCGACACTCTTCACCTCCCTACCCCTCCCTCTGCCTCCCCCCCTCCTCCCCCCTTTTACTCCTCAGTCCTGCTCGTTGGCAGAAGCAGGAGCTGTGGCGACAGAAAGCAGCACGCCAGAAGACGCTTTTCTGTTTTAAAACACAAGACAAAGAAGAACCCCCCCCTTCTTCCTTCTCCCCTCCCCCTCCTCCCCCCCGTCCTCCCATATCTCTCTGTTTTACTTCCAAGACGCAGCATTCGACCGTTTACACACCACAGGGGGGACGCCGAGACAACACACACCAGAACTGGACTTGAAAAGATGGCTGACAGCGAATGGCGGCGGCCGAGCATGATGATACAGGACGGGTGGAGGGGAGGAGGGGGGAGGGTCCAGGTGTGGGTGGTCAGTGAATGTTGCTCAGGTGAGTCAGTGATTCAGAGAGCGACGCTGATGATGCTGATGACCACGTGATTTCCTTTTATTTTATTTTTTTTGTTTTGTGTGAGTGGCAAAAATGCCTGCATCAGACAGGCGGTCTGAAGGACACGCCCCCCTCCCTCCCGCTCGCCACCTTTTGTTTGTCCGTAACACGTCAGCTGGCAGCAAACTCCAAACTCATGAACGCCGTTCCTCACAAACATCAACAATAATGGTGCCCCTCCTATTCAGTCTGGGTGGGAGGGGCTTGCTGGTATGAGAGTGGTCAGAGTGGGAGGGGCTTGTGAGTCAGGCACGCCTTAACACAGTTTTCAGCCTGCGATGACTCAGCAGCAGTCAGTATGATGATGTCAGCGCTGGAGGGAGGGGCTAGTGAACCGCTGTGGGAGGAGCTTGTCTGAGTGGAAGCAGGTGCGCCTTAAAGTAAGACCTTGATAGTTTTCAGCCTGCAGTGACTCCACAGACATAACGGCGTCCATGTGGAGGGAGGGGCCTCAGATTTATTCTCAAACTACAGTAACTATACAAGTTAACTGGAACATGATTGGCTGCAGGTGGAGGTGTACACGGCGAATGGCGTTCAGCTGCCGAATCAGTTTGGAGTTTGCTGCTAAATCACACTCAGCGTCAGGGGGCGTGGCGTCATGTCATGGGGGCGGGGGCAGTGTGGGCGGGGGCAGTGTGTTTATTTTATGGAGTTGGGTGGGCGGGGTTTAAGGGGAGGGGGAGGGGCTTTAGATTTTCTTTTTTGGCGGGAGGGAGGGCTTGTTGTGGGCGGGGTCAGATTAAGGGGCGGGGCTTGAAATGTTAGGATTCTACTGTGTATATTGAAACCCCGGCTGTTCACACTGACTGCAATATGATTTATGTTAAATAAAATATGAACTTGAATGATTTCAGCTGTTGTGACGTCCGTTCCACAAAACTCGCCGACCTCAAACCGTCACCGTGGTAACAGGTGATGGTTTACATCATGGGATTACATCATTATTATTACATCAGCTGATCCCAAACCTGCAACCCTGAAAGGAAAGAATCTCCTTTAATTGGGTTATATATTACTGTCGGTGTAGAACAACAGTAGTTTTAGTCTGATCACACAGGTCAGACTGCAGCCAATCAGCTGACAGCAGATTATGAAGGAGGACGTGAGGTGTGACCATAATTATATATAGAACTACTGGTTTTCTCCCCGTAAGTTAATATGCAGCCTTTTATCATACAGAAATGTAAAAAGAAATAAATGTTTTTAGTAAAGGGGCTGTATGTAGTTTCTCAATTAAATTACTTATTAATAAATCACATTTTCATTGGCTTTTTGTCTATTTATTTTACCAGGAAGTCACATTGAGATCAAAAATCTTTTTTACAAGAGAGACCTGGCCAAAGTAGCAGCCATACATAAACACAACTTATTAAAATGCTACATATATAACATGACAGAAGAAACACGTGTTCAAACACAATGGCCTCTCAAGAAAAACAACCATGTGTCTCCTTCACCACATTCTTTATGACAATTTATCAATTGATATACACGTTTCTAGTGGAAGATCTTTTTGCTTATTATTCCAGATCATGAAGAATGCAATGGTGAGAGAGGGACTTTGCATTTGTAATAAAGCGTAGAGATGCATGATGCACTCAATCAAGGCTCCGTAAGATGGAGGAGGCTGCGTTTATAATATGTCACCATAATCATTCACCGACAGAAAAGTAGCTTCCACAGCTTTTTTTTGGCATTGAAAATAAAGGTATATTTATTTCTAAAAAGCCAATCTTCACTTTGAGCTTCCTAACTAGATTAGCAACATGTACATTAAATAAAAGTAAAATGTAGGGGAGAGCAGGGGCGAAATTACCATTTTTCAGAAAGACCTGATTTTAAAAGATAATGTTTCAGATAGTGATATATTTTTGCTGTGGTCACTAACTCACAGGTGTGGTCTGTCAATATCAGGCGGTATTTTGTACAAATGTAGAACGACTTCTGTATAATTTCACTTAAGTGGCACATTGTTACTTTGGACCCCGTCAGCTGGGTCCAAAGTAACACAACAATACAAGCTAGATTTTTTGTGTTACCAGCCTTGTATTTAATAAATAAACATGACTGTGACCTTGATAATGTGTAACTGCAAACATCTTTTGTCCTTAATCTTTAAAAAAAACAATTAAATTACATTTTTATTTTAAATATTCAGTTTCAAAAGTAACCTGACAGCCCAAACTTGAATTGTTTAGAATATTTATATTTTACTTAATATGCAAATGTGTGCACCTAAAACAGGGGGGGAATGGTTAGATGGAGAATGTTTATGAACCTAACATTATTAAAATAAAATACGTCTTTACTGACCCTGCACTGGGAATATTTGCATGTTGCAGCAGCTTCAGAAACAGTGAAAAAATTAAACATAATTTAGAAAGATGGGACAAAATGAAAATAAACAATATAATTAAGATAAAAATTAAAAAGCTATTTACAGAGTAGGCCTATACAAATTTCACATTTTGAAATGAATTTAAAATGGTTTTAGTAAGAACAGCATGAGTGATCTGCATTTTACTGACACCTACTACACTGACCTCCTTAGGAGACTGGCCAAAATAAGCATGCAGCTTCCTCTCCTAGTCCAAGGAGAAGACTTAATAATGATCTGTACCTGTGGTCTGGTCTTCTCCCCAATTATCTCTGCCCTCCTCCTGCATTATCTTAACAAAGCGACTTTTATCAGCTGACCTGAGACTAATGTTTCTAATAGAGATGTCCAGAAACATCTGGTTGAATCAGACCTCTGTCTTTCTGACCCACGCTATTGGCCTATTCTGTTGGTATAATATGACATAAACATGTTTTAATAAATGCTGCAACACACAGAAAAGTCACCACATTAGCAGCGGGACAAAAGAAACTCCTGACATATAAACACGATTTATTTTTATACTCTGACAGGGCAAACTTCAGGTTGTGTTAAAGCACTAAATAACCTGCAGATTAATCCTTACTGTGACACATGAAACGAGAGACACAACTTGTAATTCGAAAAAGAGTCCCGCTTCAGATATTTACTTGCCGCGCTCGAAAACTGTTTACCGAAGACGACCACGGGAAACGGTGACAAAATCATATTTGGCAACTCCATCAAGGTTTGCGTGCTGGAGGTGCTGTCACAGCTTGGACTGCAAAACACAGTCAGGGTTCTGAGAAAATCACCGTGTTACTTTCGCCCCGGTTTACCCGTGCTTGTACAAGGGCACCCTTTCAATGGATTTACCATCAGACACAAAAATGCTAAGATCATCAAGCAACTGTAATCGAGCTTTTGAGAAACCATGAGCTCAGTTTTCTGAGGATTTGAAACCAAATTTAAATTGAGTAGAGCAGTTTGTAATGACTGAAATGCAGTCTGAAGCTCTTGCACAGCCTGTGTTATGGAAGGAGCACGTGTGTGAATGACAGTGTCATCAGCATAGAAGTGTATTTTTGCTTGAATACCTAAATCATTTATAAAAATAGATAAGACACGAAAAAGAACTCACTTAGAAATGAAGCGTGCGCCTGTTTTATCTGTTGCTTGCATCAGCCACTCTTCTGCTTTTAATGTGAGGACACCGGGTCGGATTCAGCCGGGCCTCTCTCAGACTACAGCGACAACACAGCAGCTAACGACATGCAGTCCGTAAAACACAGACTCCACATAAGGATAAAAACAACAATAAAGGTTTATGTGCTGAAGCCCACCAGACCAAACAGATTCAGAGGTTGTTGAGTAAAAACACAGTGAACATCAGAAAGTCTGGAGAAACACGTAGAGAGTCATGTTAGCTCACCAGCTAACGCCTAGCGGTTGCTAACGTTATCCGGTGCAAAGTTGTATCTCTTTCCACATGACTTCACCAGCTAACATGACCCATGTTACCATGGTGTGTGCCACTGGTATCATGTCAAAGTGTTGATTTAGCCTTCAAGAAATGATGTAACGGTAAAAAACAAATGTGGAGTGATTTGTGTACTAGCCTACAGTGATGCAGGGCTAGGGTTGCCACCTTCCATCCATCCATCCATCGTCAACCGCTTATCCCGCGTACAGGGTCGCGGGGGCTGGAGCTAATCCCAGCTGACATCGGGCCAAAGGCGGGGTACACCCTGGACTTTTATCATAACTTAAAACATGTTTTCAGGAAAGTATTAAGATTGATACCAATGGATGTTATAATAAGCTCTCGCTATTGAAATCAGTGTGAACTGTTAAGTCTCTCTCACAACTCAACAGACTAGTGTCAGAGCTGAACACACAGTTACGACAATAATAAACACAGAACGTGTGACAGTGAGAACACAAAAAATAGGATGTGAACTGTATTTTATTAACTTATTAAATCAACATGTCCATAACTTATTAACTATAAACAGGCTAAGACAAATGCTTTGATACGATTTGACTGAAAAGACTTTTGCAAAGGATTTTCCATGAACATCAGTGGATTAGAAGTAGCAGGCCTTGTGTGCAGTATTGGAGCGTGTTAGGCCTACTTCCTTTTATAAATGTTTTCTTGTCAGAAGTACACGACTCGTGCAGCACTGAGTAGTCTTTCAAACTGCTGCAGTAAAACTCACTTCTCATGGGATTGGCTCCAGCCGCCCGTGACCCTGTACGCAGGATAAGCAGTTGACGATGGATGGACCATTTTTTTTGATTGGTCAGTAAATATATTTATGTATTTATTCTTCAGTTTTTATTCAGCCTATTGTTCATTCTATAGCAGTGAATGATGCAACTCTATAGATTGGTTAAACACAGTTGTTTATATTCTTCACTATATTTTGATAATTAAATATGTATTAAACAGCCTCTCTTATTAAATTAATGCTGATGTGTCTGACTGTATACCTCAACCTTAAAAAACTAATCACACCATAATGTAGGCATGTGCTTCATTTACATTGTCACACCAATTCTTCACAAATAGACAGCATATAAAATCCAGCGTGATCAATCAGAAAATTAGTATGTTTTATTAAATCGTCACGCTGCCTCGGCGTGCTGTCACAGTCTGACAGGCCACCGTGCACCACTGGCCGACAAACTGTGACGTTTGGCTTCATTTCCACTGATACTAGTATTTGATTTCTCCCACTCGTGACGTCGTCTGAAACCAAAGCGGATGCAATAGTAGGCTACAGAGGGGACGCGGGTTGTTTCAACTCAACTCCCTGCCAAGAGACCCGTCCTTATCTGACTCTGGCCCTGAACCTGACGGTATTAATCAAACCAACAATGGCAGCAAGTATTACCCAATCAGGGGCAGAAAAGGAGAAGTACTATGGACTAATGTCTCCAACATATTTCAGGATGTGGTGCATCCCTGGGAACAATCACTTTAGATAAACTGTTTTCAAAATATGACTTTCCAAAGAGAAAGTGACACCAAAACCACTACATTAGGTTCATGGGTTTAATACTTTAAGGCCTGATTATACTCACTTCTCCTCCAGTAACATTTCAGTGAGGTATTAGTACTTCTACTGCAGTAAAAGGCTCTAACAGGAGTCAGATATATGTGAAATTTGTCTTTATTTAACAGCTTCAAACATTCAAATCAAACATTACTCATGTACATTAAAACAGGTCATACTGGCGACACGAAAGCCTCACGATTGGCTGAAAGGTGAGGGGGCGGTGACAATGCCACAGTCATTAAAGATGACATTAAATAAAAAAACAGACATTTTAAGATTTAAGATCATATTGAGAAGTTTGTGTCGATATGAACATGAAGTTTTTATTTATTCATTAGTACATAATTTATGTTCAGAAATGTCACTAATATATATATTTTCCACACTGTTCCCAGTAGATAAGTGAACTTGTTCCCTCTAGAAAATATTAGTGGATTTCCTGCCTTCATTACCCAGAAAACCAAACTGCAGGCTTCAAAACATCATTTTCATCAGAACCATGATGTAATGTTCTGCTGATGCATCACGTTTTTACTGCCGGGCTCCAACAAGACACGTTTCTCATTAGGATTACAACACGGTGTGAGAACATGGAAAGGATCTTGTAGAACATGAAAAAGATCTTATAAAATGAAAAATATCTTGGTAGAACGTGAAACGTGGGATCTTGGTAGAACGTGAAACGTGGGATCTTGGTAGAACGTGAAAAAAGTATTTTGTTAGTATTCTGTGGAACATAAAAAAATCTTTTAATATGAAAAGTATCTTGTTAGAACGAGAAACTAAGGAGATGTGTTGTTGTCGTTGCAGCAGCGACGCACTGCCGGACGTTCCCACTTCTGTTAAATGAAAAAACCCAAATCGGTTCAGTCTGTGGTGAGATCAAGTTTCTGAGTTTGACGTCTCCAACATGGCCGCCAACAGCCAGTAACGTCTCACCCACATTAGTCCCTGCTCGGTTCTGCTGCCTCTTCTCAGGTTCCGTCGCTGCGCCTCCGTCCGGTCCCTGGTCCCTCAGTCCAGGTGGTTCTGTGTGGTCATGAGGACCAGGGGGACCTCTTTGTCTCCGGTGCCCAGCAGAGGGAACATCCTCTCGGTGAACTCGGAGGATCCGGTGAAGCTGTAGATCTCTGAGCCCGACTTGGCGTTATAGAAGGACACATGACCGTCGTCCATGTCCAGGAACACGCCCACCTGACGCAGCTTCGGCTGATGCTTCACCTGCAGGTCGACACAAACACGGTTTTATTTGTCCTCTTAGTTCTTCCATTTATAAACAACTAAAGCTGAGTTCCTCATGTTTTCGAAGCTGTTTGAGGTCGTCTGCATCAGTAATATTAAAAACAAGCTCAATGCATCTGTGAGCTATGGAAGCCCATTAACGCCAGGAAAAGAAACTAAACGAAAAGTTATGGAAGATAAAAGTGATGAAGATAAAAAGTCATTGTTTTCTAACTCAAAATTATGTAGTAGTAGTCGTCATCTGGTTAGAAGTAAGAAGAGAAGTGACATTTGGACAAATGGAGGACCACACAGAGGACAAACTAGTGGTAGCGGTTGCTGGATATGAACAGAAAACAGGCACATTAGAGCTCTGCTCGAGAGTTCGGTTTTCATGAATATAAACTGCACAAATAGCTGGTAGCATACAGTTCATGGTCTGTGTTAAGCTAACGTTAGCTCGCTGTCATCGTAACATTTAGCTAGTTACATAGTAGGCCTCACATCACCTGTCAGGTTTTCAGGCTGTCGGATAAACTGTAGGCCTGAACCCACAATACCACACAGACGTTAAAACAAACAACCTACATAACAAATGCTCAGCGGCTCGGCAGGACCAGCGGACTCCCTGTAGTTAGTCGTGGTTTTTGTGATGCTAGGTCAACTGATGACGGCAGATTGTCAAACTGCGACTTGTCTGTCCTGAACCCCTGATGATTTGGTGGTCGCCTAACTGGAGGCGTTTTGTGACCTGCAAAGTATCCTCTGTCTGATCGACCCTCAGAAGTTTTTACTTTTTGAATCATTGAGTATTTCTTTTGTGTTTTTTCCTGACACTACTGGGCTTCCACACTGCCTCTACAGTTCACTGCTGTACAGGATTTTAAAGGCTGATGAGACATCTATGAAATGTGTGTCAGTACCTTGGCAAGAGGTGGCGTGGTGAGCGCTCTAAGCTGGCTGCCGCTCCACCAGATGGCGTAGTATCCAACAGAAGGACTCATGTCGAACAGACCTTTCCTCTGAGCTGACTCGCTGACCACGCCCAGCTTCCAGTCCTTGTTCTCCCCAACAAACACCTGCCACAGGTGCACAAAACAAACAGTTTGATTTCACACTGGATCCTGGATCAGAATCATCAGTGTGCCCTGGATCATCTGTGAGTCTTGGGTCTGACCTCCCAGTAGTGGCGTCCAGTACTGAACCCCTCTTTGGCGATGACACAGGACCAGACGTCAAAGCGATGCTGACTGTTCCGGTAGAACTGCAGCTTCTCTCCTCTCTTCACCTGCTTCCTGTCCTCAGACAGGATCAGGAAGGGGTACGCCGTCACCGGGTTCAGGGTCACGTCCTCTGGAAACAACAAGGACGCCACAAAGGGAACAATGAATGCTAACGTTAGCATGCTCAACTCAAACAACATACTTTTAACGTTGTGTTTAGCATGTTGATGGGCTAACGTTTTGTATGTGATGTTTGCTTGTTAGCATGTTAGCTAGTAAATAAACAGGATAATAACAACCATTTTGAAAAACTGACTTTTTAAAATTCTGCTGGACTTTCTCAGCTTTCATCATCTCATTGTGTTTGCTTGTTGGCTTGCAAAGTTAGCATTTTAGCATTCTATGCAATAAAGGTTGGACTGTCATTTGAATACTAGCATAGCATGCTAACATAACAACTCGGTGAAAACAAAACTGAGAAAAGTTTAAAGAGAATAATCTGTAATAATAAAAAGTTTAAATATTACACTCACCCATGTAGACTCGGACCTTTTTGTATCCTGAAACAAAACATAAGTTAATTTACTGCTGCTGCAGAAAAACATCATGAAGAAACTGATTCATTAGCATCAAGATATCATGTAAATATACATCTATATAATTAATTTATTTAACTGACACCCACCTGAGACTGATTTGATTTTCTTTAGATCTGAAGGGAGACAGGAAACCACAGTCAGTCTTTCACAATAAAAGCCCTCACTGTCTCGTCTCATATCAAAATAAAACTGAGCAGTCGGCTGGTCCAGAGTCAGATATCTCAGCATCCCTGCTCCCCAGAGGAAACCCCGATCTCATGTAACAGCTGATGGTGGATCAGTCACTTACTCTTCTTCAAACTGGCGTTGCTTCCTCTGAAATTGCCGTTGCTTCCGCTCAAGTTGTTGCTGCTTCCTCTCAGACTGAGCATGCTCTCTGCGAACATCAGCTCAGGGACTGAAACACAGAAACCAGCCGAGGTCAGTACGACATGACAAACGCACACGGGCATAGCACTTGTGCAGAGGGAAGCAACTCACTAATCACTGTGCAAAGGGTGGGAGTCGTCACTTAACTAATAACTATTTCTCTAATTTAAAGATACGTGGCCAAACTATGATGTCAAGGAAAAGGACAGATGCACGATAAAACACGGTCGTTATGGTTCCGTCAATATGAAAGTATGACAGGGTGTGTAGACACGAACGGCCGCCCAGGTATACGGACATGATGGCCGCCTGAGTGGATGAAGTCGAGGCTGAGGTTTCAGCAGGTTTATACATGCTGGTGACGCTTGCTGGTCAGCTCGCTCTGATTGGCTGCTAAAGGTTCTGATCGACCTTCAGATTATGAATTTTAACCCCTCTGAGAGTAGCATATCTGCTGTGACTCACCAGAGCCTCTGGACTTTGCGTAGCGTTGCGGAGTGGAGTTGACCTCCCCCATCCTGATGTCGTCCATCTTGTCTTTCACCTCGGACAGAGAGCTCTTCACCTCCCCCAGCTGGAAGTGCAGGGAGAAGTGCTCCTCGTCCTCGTCCTCCTCCTGCCAATCCTCAACTAGAGGAGCTGTGGCCTCATCGTAAGTCTGTGGAGAGGAGAGAGGGGTGAGGAGGCTAAAGCCAACAGGTCGTGATGTCATGCTAACAGAGGCTAAAGCCAACAGGTCGTAATGTTCATGCTAACAGAGGCTAAAGCCAACAGGTCGTAATGTTCATGCTAACAGAGGCTAAAGCCAACAGGTCGTAATGTTCATGCTAACAGAGGCTAAAGCCAACAGGTCGTGATGTCATGCTAACAGAGGCTAAAGCCAACAGGTCGTGATGTTCATGCTAACAGAGGCTAAAGCCAACAGGTCGTAATGTTCATGCTAACAGAGGCTAAAGCCAACAGGTCGTAATGTTCATGCTAACAGAGGCTAAAGCCAACAGGTCGTGATGTTCATGCTAACAGAGGCTAAAGCTAACAGGTCGTGATGTCATGCTAACAGAGGCTAAAGCTAACAGGTCATAATGTTCATGCTAACAGAGGCTAAAGCTAACAGGTCATAATGTTCATGCTAACAGAGGCTAAAGCTAACAGGTCATAATGTTCATGCTAACAGAGGCTAAAGCTAACAGGTCATAATGTTCATGCTAACAGAGGCTAAAGCCAACAAACGTCCAGCTCTCACCTGCAGGAAGCTGATGTGGTCCTGACTGATGGCCTGGACCTCCAGCGTGGCCCTCCTGTCGATCAGCTGACTAAGCTCCGCCTCCAGACGGTTTACCAGCCCCTCCCCCTTTGACATCACAGCGTCCAGCTGGCTCTCGATCCCGCCCACCACCTGAGTCCGGATCCTGTCCAACGAGCCGGCCACCTCGTCCAGGAGGTGCTCCACCTCGCCTCGCTCTCTGTCTGCGTAGTTCTGAAAACAAAAATGACTGTTATTGAATCTGTGGGATTGATTACGAACAGACGCTCGAGTTTAAGTAATGTAGAAGATGTCTGACCTTGACTCCCTCCAGTTTCCTCTTCAGCTGAGTCACATGAATCTCCTTCTCTTTGATCCGGTTCAGGATCTCCTGCTCCGTCCTCGCTACCAGTTTCTGAACACACAGGCGAGCACAGGACTCACTTTCATCGGCTGACGATCTCATATGGAGGAAGAAACACTAACAGCTGGTAATAGTAAGACCACATGGCCCTCCTCTCTACCTGTTTGTTGAGTCTCTCGGTCTGGACGGAGACGGTCCGGTGTGTCCGATGTTCCTCCATGACGCAGATGGCACAGATGCAGCGCTGACATTCCCGACAGTACACCTGGACAGTAAACACATCGGCAGGTCAGACAGGTAGATCAGTACAGTAAATGTTTAGAGTAGTCAACATGTTAAAGGTCTAAGAACATCACAGGCTGCAGAGCCTTAAACCTGCGTCCTCTCCAGCAGCCAGCAGGGGGCGACTCCAGCGGCTGCAGAAAGAAACTGTTTCTACTTGTCAGCTGATTTATTCCCTCAGTAAACACTTTCCTGATGAGTTTCTGGTCTCAGTCGCTAGTTTCAAGTCTTCTTCAACACAGCATGATGTTCATTTAGTAAATTATGGTCCCGTTTAGAGGAACAGAGACCAGGAAGCAGGGGAGGCTTTAGGGCGGAGCTACTTCTTCTTGTATAGAAGCAGTTTTTAAAGTCAGATATAGAGACCACATTGTTCTTTCTCTGTAAATAGTTGTAATATTTTTCCTCTATTATTTTATTAGTCTTATAAACCTGCATCTGTTTATTCCAATTTTTGAAGGATTTGATCCTGATCAAACGTCACAATCAGTGTTTATTTCCCCTCACCTCCAGCAGGCGGCGGTGCGCCGCGCAGGTGCGGCCCCTGAGGGCCTCCTGGGGGTCCAACAGTGGGTGTTTGGCGTAGAAGGGCGTGGTCTGATGCGGCTTGACATGCTCATTGCAGTACGAGGCGGTGCAGGTGACACAGGAGCTGACAGCAGGCCGTTTGACTCCTGTACAGATGTCACACCACACCACCTCCTCAGCTGGAGCCGTCAGGAACGGGTTGGTGTTTGTCATCGTGGCCACGCCGCCAGCCGGCGTCCTGTTCTTGACCGGCATCGATAAGCCAGCGGCGCCATAGCGAGCTTCTTTGTATTTATCTGCGATGAGAGCGAAGACTTTGTTGACGCTGAGCTGAGGGCGCTCATCAAACGGGCGTTTGCAGAGGGGACAGGTGCAGACCGGACTGGACGCCCAGTAACCTCCGATACACCCCTGCAAACAAAACAGGAGAAGAAGAAGAAGGTTAACGATGATCCCTGATTCCTCTCTAGGAAACAAACACACAGAAGGTTTCAGTGTCTCGCTGTGAAGCGTCTGAAGGGCAAAGACGAGATATGATCCTGTTCAGGTACGAAATAAACAGGTGTGACCTTGCAGCAGGAAGTGCTCGATCACACCTTCAGATGTCTTGAACCAGGTCCGTACATCTGCGTTCAGTCTGTCTCTGAGCCTTCGGGACAAATCCTCATGGATCGGCGTGTGACCTCGCAGCAGGTAACTCAACACCGTCTCACCCCTTCGTTTTTTAACGCCCTGTGTACCTTTACAGTCGTTTCTTGCACATGTAGGGCTCCGCGGTCGAGTCAGCAATGATGGATAGGCAATCTCTGGTGAGACTTTCAAAATAAAAGTACTTGCTATCGTTGTTAAAGCTCATGTTTTGGGTTAAAAACGTTACTTGCCGAACTTCCATAACCTTAAAAAACAGTCGGCCTCCGGACTGAAAGTCCAGTTTCTGGCCCTACATCCACCCCAGGGCCTTAAATATCCTACACATACAGTGGGGGGGGAAAAGTATTTGACCCCTTGCTGATTTTGCAGGTTTGCCCACTTACAAAGAATGCAACAATCTACAATTTTAATCATATGTACATTCTAACAGTGAAAGACAGAATCCCAAAGAAAATTCCAGAAAATCACATCATATGAATTTATAAAAATTGATAACCATCTGATGAGGAAAAACAAGTATATGACCCCCTACCAAACAGCAAGTATTCTGGCTCCTACAAGCCAGTTAGTCTTTCTTTAAGACACAGCCCCAATCCCAACCAATTATCTACATCAAATACACCTGCCTCACCTCGTTACCTGTATAAAAGACACCTGTCAACACCCAAACAACCAGCATCCAACATCACCACCATGGGCAAGACCAAAGAGCTTTCTACGGACATCAGGGACAAGATTGTTGATCTGCACAAGGCTGGGATGGGCTACAAGAGAATCGGAAAGCAACTTGGAGAGAAAAGATCAACTGTCGGTGCAGTTATCAGGAAATGGAAGAAGCACCACACCACCGCCAACCTCCCTCGGTCTGGGCCTCCACACAAGATCTCGCCTCGTGGGGTGTCCCTGATCATGCGAACGGTGAGGAATCATCCCAAAACCACAAGGGGGGAACTGATGAATCAACTGAAGGCAGCTGGGACCACAGTTACAAAAGAAATGGTTGGTAACACACTACGCCGTCATGGATTGAAATCCTGCAGCGCATGCAAGGTCCCCCTGCTCAAGAAGAAACATGTACAGGCCCGCATGAAGTTCGCCATTCACCACCTGGACGACTCAGAAGAGGCCTGGAAGAAGGTGATGTGGTCAGATGAGACCAAAATAGAACTTTTTGGCCTCAACTCAACTCGTCGTGTTTGGAGGGCAAAGAACACCGAGTACAACCCAAAGAACACCATCCCCACCGTCAAGCATGGTGGTGGCAACATCATGCTTTGGGGGTGCTTTTCAGCCAAGGGGACGGGACAACTCCATCGTATTGAGGGGAGGATGGACGGGGCCATGTATCGTGGAATTCTGGACCAACATCTCCTTCCCTCAGTGAGAGAGCTGAAGATGGGTCGAGGATGGGTGTTTCAGCACGACAACAACCCTAAGCACACCGCCAAAGCAACAAAAGAGTGGCTGAAGAAGAAGCACATCAAGGTTCTGGAGTGGCCTAGCCAGTCTCCAGACCTGAATCCAATTGAAAATCTTTGGAGGGAGCTTAAAATTTCGAGTTGCCAGGCGACAACCTCGGAACCTGAATGATTTGGAGGCTGTCTGCAGGGAGGAGTGGGCCAACATCCCTGCCGAAATGTGCACAAACCTTTTGACATCTGTGCTGGCCAATAATGGCTTTTCTACAAAATATTAACATGCTGTTTGTCCAGGGGGTCATATACTTGTTTTTCCTCATCAGATGGTTATCAATTTTTATAAATTCATATGATGTGATTTTCTGGAATTTTCTTTGGGATTCTGTCTTTCACTGTTAGAATGTACATATGATTAAAATTGTAGATTGTTGCATTCTTTGTAAGTGGGCAAACCTGCAAAATCAGCAAGGGGTCAAATACTTATTTCCCCCACTGTACAGGGTTTCCCCGCCAGTGTTTTACAAGCGGACACCAACAGGTCTTGACCGTGCGTCCATGTGTGGCGAGGTGGGAGTTTGAACGTGGTGGCTGAGGAAACAGGTAGATGCCACCTCAGCAGGTTGCCTACATCATCTGCCGAATGCAGCGTCCAGCTCTAAAGGTCCTCTTCAGACACTTTGCTGTGCTCGTTGATTGAAGGTGTTTTTTTTTTAAATCACCACATATTTTTGCTGAACCTCAAAGAATGAAAGTGTAATCATATGCTGATGACACCCCTCATCAGACCCCACACAGTCTGCTCGGAGGTGCATTCGGTTCTCGGCGGGCTGCAGGACTCTGCGTAACACCGGGCCTCAGGTGTGTTTGACTGTTACCTGGCAGAAGTTGTGTCCACAGGGGGTGGAGACGGGTTCGTCGAACAGATCCAGGCAGATGGAGCAGGTGAGCTCCTGCTCCGAGAACAGATCTTGGGCCGCTGCCTCCGCCATGATCATACTGCTGCTGGAGGAGGAGGGAGGAGAGGGAGGCGAGTTAGCTTGCTGCTCTGCTAACTGTTAGCACGCTGCTCTGCTAACTGTTAGCTCGCTGCTCTGCTAACTGTTAGCACGCTGCTCTGCTAACTGTTAGCACGCTGCTCTGCTAACTGTTAGCTCGCTGCTCTGCTAACTGTTAGCTCGCTGCTCTGCTAACTGTTAGCTCGCTGCTCTGCTAACTGTTAGCTCGCTGCTCTGCTAACTGTTAGCTCGCTGCTCTGCTAACTGTTAGCTCGCTGCTCTGCTAACTGTTAGCTCGCTGCTGTTTAAAGCTGCAAATGTAAAAGGTCAGATTTCCGAGCATCAGTGGGGCAAAGTGAGTATTTTATTTTGAGGTACTTTATACATCACCACATGTCAGAGAGAAATATTTATATATTACTGCATTTACTTTAGTTTCTCTGCAGATTCTGAATATTAACACAAAGTTTAATCAATAAAGAAAATATTAAGTTTCATTGGAGACGAGCAGAACTCAAAGTGATTAAAATGAGCTCCAGCTGCAGTAAAGTGATGAACACATGAATAATATGCAGCAGTAATAATAATCAATATTTGAAACAGGCTGTTCTGCATGATGAGTACTTTTACAGGTTTATTTTGCTGCTTACACTTTTGTATTTTTACTTCAGTAAAGTTGTGAATGCAGGACTTTTACTGGTAAAAGTATTTCCACGCTGTGGTACTACTACAGTAAGAGATCTCTGTGCGGCGCTGAAACTCAGTAACGTGACTTCAGCTGCAGAGGAGAGACGTTAATAACATCTCAACATCTTCTTTAACGTTTCAGCCCGAGTCGGACGAACGAACCAAACTGACAGGAAGTTAAACTGGACTTCAAAGTCTTTGATCCTCCTCAAGACACCAGGTCACTTCAGGATCGCAGAGATTACAGTGCCCAGACATTTAACCCCCTCCTCTCTCAGAAAGTCTCTGATCATCTACAGTTTCTCCAGAGTTTGGATCCCCACACCTGCTCACATTGTCAGACTCCTGATTTACCCGTCAGCTATCATTTAAAACCTAAAGACAGCATTCAGCCGGAGAACGAACACGTTGAACACAATGTCAGATCACAGCCACGTCCTCTCTGAGAGCTTCAATAGAAAGTTTCATTCAGTGTCAACACGCTTCCACTTTTTCTGTCCTTGGATTCAACTGCAGGTGAGTTTTGTGTAAATGTTTCCCAACAGACGCGGGAAAAAAGTGAATTTAGTTCAGACCGTCCAAACCGAGACCAAGTCAAGTCAAGACTTTTAGGGACTGAGACCAAGACCAGTTCCCCACATTACCCAACACAGAATAAAATGTGGAACGAGATCACAGGTGCTTCTCAAATAGATCTGAAAGATCCACATTCCCATTAAAACACCCACATACAAACACTAAGAGCTGAAATCCACCTAAGCATCTTTATTCAACACTCCAACACTGGAGGGGGGGGACAGTCGTTACGGTAACGCCACATTTTTAATTTTAATCCAATCAAAGTTAGGATGTTAACAAATAAATCAGACAGTGCAAAAGCAGCTTATTGACATTCAAATAAGGTAAGGGCTTGAAATAAAATCCTGAGTCCTCAGTGACCGAGACAAGACCATCAAGACGTGGTCTTAAGACTACCACAGACCCTAAAGTCTCTTAAAAAGACAACCTTGTGTCCCCGTTAACCTCATCAGCTGTGAGCAGTTAGCGTGGATGTACAGTCCGCTCTCACTGAAGGAAACTACAACACATGCAGCGTCTCTGGTTTCTGGACGGACAAACTGAAGGTGTTTCAGGTGATCTGAGCAGCACTAAGGAGTTAAAAGTAGCTTCACACATCCTGCGTCTTCATGCGTTTGTGTTCTCTGTTTGACTAAATGCAGGTTTTCACAGGATCATTTCACAAAGTTTCACCAGGTAAGTTTTCACTGCAAAGACAAAAGAAGTCTGTTGTGAAGCCAGAAAGGAAAATCAGTTTCAGTGACATGTTTTCATTATTTTACATGTTGGTTATAGAATCAATCAGGTCAAACCGCATTCCTCCTGACACGGCTGAACTCTGACACATCGGCCGAGTCACGCAGCTCAGACAGACAGAAAATAAAGACATGTGTATAGAGACAGACGAGGAGTGTTTGGGAAAGTGCTTCTCTACCTGTCATCAGGTCCCTCTCTGTGTTTCTGATCCCTGATCAGGCTGATAAACACCTGTTCTGAACAGGTGTGAAGGGGAACAGGAGGAGGGGGCGGGGCCACCACACCTGCACGAGAGGTGCGTTCAGGGCAGCAAAGTTCAGACACATTAAATTAAAACACCATGTGAGCAGCAGGAAGATGCTTTAATGCTCTCTTGGATATTTATGTGAATAATAAAACGTGTTTTATCTACAGGTGATGATTACGGCTCACCTGAACTCCACTTACTAGAATGAGGGATGCAACTAAACACTGTAAAAATTATCTAGCTGGTTCAACTTAAGAACTTAAGTTCAACTGCTGCCTTAAAAATGTGAGTAAACTCAGCTTTAAGAAAAGCTTTGTTTCAACTCATGATGTTTAATTAATGATCATTTATTGTCTGAACTTAATCCTGTGAGTTAAAACAACTATATTACATTGTCCATTCAAGGAAACTTGCTTTCTCTTGTCAAACAAACCAATTCTACACCATTTCAACTCACATTTTTAAGTTCAGATAAATAAATATTAGACATTTCAAGTTAACTGAACTTGAAGATTTGTTTCAACTCATAAGTTCATAAAGTGGATATGACTACAGTGTTCTAGTTGTCTCAATGTTAGTTAGATGAACAAGTTTGAGTTATTATAACTGTCTCAAGTTAAAGCAACTTAACCAAATACTATGAATAATAATAATAAATATTTCACGTTTCATGCTCTACTTCTTTAACATGCATCAGTTTGTGTATATCTGAAAATGTGCAATGAGGTTATCAGAGCCAGTTTTAGATAAATAAGGAATTATTATGACAGAAATATGAATAATCAGCTGAGCTGTGAAGATGTCAGTTAATAAACTTAACTATATATACTGTTAATTAAATAATTATAGTTGCGTAATTTATTTTGCAAGCAAACAAATAAAATACTGATTAAAAAGAAAATCAGAAGCACACCTGAGCAGGCTGCAGCCAGGTTAATCTGCTGTTTATCCACAGCAGCGTTACAGGAAGTGACTTGAACACGTGAATGTATTAATATTTATAATCCTTTATATTTTGTACTTTAACACTTTACTGGTGCAGCTGCTGAAGGTGGAGCCACTTTAATCACTTTACATACATGTTCTTATATTAACGTTAACGTAATCGTCAGAATTTATTTGCTTATTACATTTTGGCTCATCAGTCTGAATTAAAAAGTACAACATCAGCCTCTGAACTGTACCGCAGTGGTGTTACCTCAAAACTGTCCTCCAATCAATCGATTAATGGATGAAATATTCAGCCGATTGATCCATAATGAAAATGATTATTAGCTGCAGTTTGACACAAAATCAGATGATTTAATCCTGTGAATTTAAACAAGAAGGACGAGTATAAACACAGATGTGATCAGCTGATAAAAGCTACGTGCTAACCGATGCTAAGTCACGGTGACAGCAGATATTCAGGTGTGAGGCCCCGCCCCAGGTGGTGAGTGAGCGTTCAGACCGAGCCTGCATGGAGGGTTCCAGGTCACGACCCTGCAACATCCCGTCCCACAGGAGAGATGGAGCCGGGTTGTTTAGACTAGTGCGGGGCCCGTTCACAGGCGCCGTTCACAGGCGCCGTTCACACAGGACGTCACAGGATGTCGCAGGATGTCGCAGGATGTCGCAGGATGTCGCAGGATGTCGCAGGATGTCGCAGGATGTCGCAGGACGATGCAGGATGTCGCAGGACGATGCAGGATGATGCAGGATGTCGCAGGACGTCGCAGGACGATGCAGGATGTCGCAGGACGTCGCAGGATGTCGCAGGACGTCGCAGGACGATGCAGGATGTCGCAGGACGATGCAGGATGTCGCAGGACGTCGCAGGACGATGCAGGATGTCGCAGGACGATGCAGGACGTCGCAGGACGATGCAGGATGTCGCAGGACGATGCAGGACGTCGCAGGACGATGCAGGATGTCGCAGGACGATGCAGGACGTCGCAGGACGATGCAGGACGTCGCAGGACGATGCAGGACGTCGCAGGATGTCGCAGGACGATCGCAGGACGTTGCAGACATGCAGATACCCGAGTTACGGTGTTTCTGCCATTGCTCTTGGTCATTACACTGCATCTTTTGCTGTGTGGTCCATTCAAACCCAGGCTTCGTTCAGTAACTCTGCTGTCTCTGTGCAGTCATCTCACCTACTAGGAGCTGCTGAAGCTGACAGGAAGTCAGCAGGGCGGGGCCTCAGATCTCTGCTGACACACCTGAATATCTGCTGTCACCATGACTTTGCTTTGATTATCGCAGCTTTTATCAGCCGATCACTTCTGTGTTGATCTGGATGAAGTCGTTCTGCCAGTTTAAACCTCTGAATCATCCTGTTTAGTATCGGAGCTGCTGATTCTTTTCATTCTGGATCAATCTGCTGTTTATTTTCTCTGTGAATCGACTGATCGCTTGACAGTTTAACTCAACGTTCCTAACAAACATCACAGGTATTACAGATCTTCATGAGAGAAGATAAAACGTGATCAACAGAAAACTTTGCAGCACTTCTCCTCAGATGAGTGGACAGTTTATACAGAGCAGCGACAGAGAAGCTTTATCACAGGAGGAAATCTGCTAAATGTGTGTGTGAGGGAGACACAGTGAGTTCATATTTCAGCCTGTTTACTTTAAATTCTGTATATTTTACAATCAACGTTGGCCGACCATGTCAAAAGATTATAACAGTTGTGATTAAACATTTTAGGTTATGAAGATAAAGATATTGGAGCTTTAAAAACATCAACAATAAATAAGAAGTGAGCTGTAAACTAAAACTAAAAACTGGTATCAAACAGAGCAAAGGGTGGACATAAAAAGAGAAACGTTTGCGGGTGAATATAAACATTAACATTAAAACCTCACTTGGTTCTCAGCTTTAAATTGGTACGAAACAAAGTAGATGTACTCAAGTACTGTATTTATACTGTATTTCCATTTTATTACACCACGTGATACTTCTGCTCCACAACAGGTCACATATTGTGTATATAAATCAAAGGTCTAAAGTAATAAAAAAGTACAAATATTCAGTATTCTAGAAAAGTCCAGAAACTCAGTTTCCGTCCACAGCAGCGTTTTAGCTGCGTATCAGAGTTGATCTGCGTCTTTATTAAAGCGACTGAAAACGCACATCTAGTGGCCGTTCACGTCCACTGGGCATGTGCGTGTGTGCCGGTGTAAAACCAAAATCTGTGACCTATCAGATTCTGTGACTACACCCAAACCATAACCAAGAACTTTTGGTGCCTAAACCCGACCAAACTGCGCTTAACTTGCCATCTGGGTCACAGAATCTGACAGGTCACACATGTTGTTGTCACACCGGTGTAAACATGAAGCTGATGGTCTCTTACGTAGTTACAGAAGATTTGTCGAAAGAATAAAGAACTACTGATGAAGAACCAGATTTTATTTTGCATGGACCAATAACGAGCTGGGACTGTTACTGAGTGTAACACGGGAGTTAAAAGTGGCGATGGCGGCGGGTTATTTGCATGGTACAAAATATTTAAATAAAAATACCAAATCAAAAACTCTGTCAGCAGCATCGTGTTTCTGCATGACTTATGAGAGCCAATCAGAGAGCTGAGCGTGAGCGTCATCGTTTCTAAAGTCCTCCTTGTTTGCCCGTCTGCCCTAAAACGCTACCTGGAGTTTTAAAACGAAAAAAGGGGTCGGCTACGTTTTCAAACTTCTCCGTTTTAGGACTCTGTTTTGCAGCGGTGTGGGCGGGGCCTGAGAACAGATTCAAAATGCAAAACTTTCTTCTTCTCTCCTCTCACATTAATCACCTGACGACCCCTCCGACAGATCTGGTGACCCTCCAGAGGGTCGAAACTCTAAACTAGTCCATTAAAGGGAGTCTCACACCTGGCGCCCCCCTGTGGGGACACACCTGGTCATCTTTGTGGATTATTTTAAGTTTTAAAGTGCGTTCCCACCAAAAGCTAATCCAGCCGCTTGATTACATACAAATAAGCTTTTTACTTTAGTTTTTGGAATTACAACTTGGTTTATCTTCACTCGCAGTTGTCGGCAGCTTCACATCCGGTTCCACTGTTGTTGTTAGCGTCGGATGGCACCAGACTTCTGCTGGACTGCGACTTATATAAAAACGAGACATAGCTGGACATTACTTGGAGAAAAGAAAGCGAGGAGGTTGAACTACCTGGTGAGTTTAGAAAATATGTGTCTGTAACTTTATTCCAGCTGTCGTTGTACTTTAACAAGTTAGCATAGCGTAGCCCTGATCGATCCGAACTCCATTCAGCAAACAAACATTTTAGAAGTTGTCGTCCTGCTGACAGACCTGACAAAGCATCACTTCATATGTTTAACAAAACTGCATCATATTGTAGTTATTTCAGCATCAGTTTAATCTGTTTACTGCAATTAAATCACAGCCAAGGGTTTGCTTTGGGTTCATATAGCTGTAGTATTCGCGGGTTGTGTTTATTCGCTCAACACTCAAAATGTCCAGCAGTCAAACTTGCGCGAGTAAAGCGAGGTGAATATTAAATTCGCTTTCGGTGTGAACGCAGCTTTAGACTTGGTTTAAGTGTTGGTAAATATTTTAAAGTTTGGATAAAACGTTATAAACTCTGTAGGGCTGCAGCTAAAGATGGTGTTTATTATTATAAAATGTGTTTTTACAATAAATCAATTCAGAGTTTATAAATAACAGTGAAAATAGTGAAAACACTACTGTAGTTTCAGAGAGACATTGTGAGGACCTGACAGTCCACTCAGCTCCATTTGGGGATGAAAAACAGGTTCCCACAACTTTATGTGTGATTTTAGGGTAAAAACTGTGAATAATTTCATTTTTAGGTTTAATTAAAATACATTTTAAGATTTATTTTAGGGTTTAGATTTACGGGTTAAAACTAAGAATATATTTAGGTTCAGGTTAGAATAAGCTGCTAGGAAATATATTTTAGGGTTTAGATTTATGGGTTAAAACTAAGAATATATTTAGGTTCAGGTTAGAATAAGCTGCTAGGAAATATATTTTAGGGTTGAGATTTCGACCAACTACCTCTAAAGTTCACTGGTTAACATGTTGTATCGTGTTTATTTCATTTAAACACAGACAGAAATGTAAAAATGAATGTTGGTGGTTTTAAAGGGAGATGTGCGCTGGAACTATTTCTTTACAGAATCCATCCTCGCTGCAGGTCTGAACGCCAATTCATGGTTTCTGCGTGGCCTCGAGGGTCCAGCTGATCCATGAAGGTCTGAGCGGCGACAAACGAACCGACGGCTTCTGTTTCCTGCTCTCTACGTGTGAACTGTTTCTTCGCCATCCTTTAGCGTCGCACACACCCTGTTCTTCTTCTGACATTTTTATGCAATTCAGCCTAAAACAACAAACATCGTCCTGATGAACCACCTGACAGGCGTGGTGGTGCGAACGATCACTGTAGCAACTGCAGAAACTAAAACTCACAGTCAGTTTCATCACTTTCCTCAAATCAAAAAGAAAAGTTCTGCTAAATTAATAATCCCACCGGTTGGTTTTGGATTCAATTTTAAAATCTCCACAAATATTTAAAGTTTGCACATTTAAAATGAATCTCCAGTTTAAAGATCTGAGCAGGTGTTTGTGGATTAAAGTCTGTATTTCAGATTCACAGCAGCAGATTCTTACCTCTCTCCGAGGGAGTCGACGTGTTTCTGTCACAAATCTTGAAACTCAGGTTACTTTCAGCCTGTGATGTCATCAGTGGGCGGAGACTCAGGTGCAGAAAGCGGTCAGGTGAGTTTAGAAACTGTTTGTTTATGCTGGTTTACACTTTTACGTTATGTTTGTCTTTAAATTATCACCTTTGTTTTATTATATTCAGTATAATACATGTACATGTTTAGATTTTATTGTTATTTAACTGAAAGGAAAGATTTTGCATTTGCAGGTTTTGCATTTAATTTTGCACGTCTATTTTATTTTGTAAATTTTACATCACTTTGCCGGCGATATAATAATGGTGGTGCAGAAACATTTCAAATAAAAAATAGATCTGAATTTTATTATTTTGTTTTAGGTCAATTCTTAATTTATTTAAATTTTTTCTTTTTCAATTTAGCTCTTTTTTTCTTTTTTTAACATGATTTTTAAATATTGAGTCTAAGAACAATTTCACAGTCAGCTGTAAAAACCATGGTAAATACTGTATATGAGTAATTTTATGCTGTACACCCTTAATTTAATTTTTCAGCTTTATTTTACTATTTTTTTAAATAAATAAAAAAATCTGATAAAATATAATTATTATGAAAAAAAGACTATTAAGTAAAAATGTCTATTTTTATTATTAAAAAAAGGTATACACCACATTTTTAAATAGTTAACCAAATAAATAAAATGAATGAGAAAAATACAAACAATTAAAACCTTTTAGAAAAGTTGACAACATTTTCTGTGTTTGGGGGACGACTCATGACCTCCGTATTTCTAAAACTCTGGATATGACCCGGACAAACGCGTAGACTTTACCTACTTTTCAAAAAAACAATCACGTGTCCTCTGAGGCGAAGGCGTGACCGTGACAAAGGGTTTGATAACCACCACCTGCCCTGATCCGAGCGGTTTGGGGGTTGATGCCTTGCTTAATCGCAGGATGTTTGCAGAGGGAACAACATGTTTTTCATGCTTACACCTGAAGACAGACTGGACCGAGGACATTCCTGCAGGTGTGTGTGTGTGGCATCAGGTGTGAGGTGGTGAATCCTGTTTGGCCATTGGTCCTCCTGGCAGGTTGCGTAACCCGGCGAGCTCCCCAGTAAAATTATGAAATAACAATAAAAAGTCACTAACTGAGAAAAGAGGTTATTAAAATGTATCTGGTCGAAATTAAAATAAATGTTATGAATCCTAAATATTTCTATCTATTGTGTATTTTGTTTTCTAGGGCTTCCATAGAAATACCACCATTTTAATAGGCTATAGTAAAATAAACCCAGTCAGATGCTTAAGATTCAGATAATGTTGTGTCCATATACAGAAAAGTGCAGGATGTGTTTAGCCTAGCTTAGCACAAACACTGGAAGCAGGGGGAAACTGCTAGCCTAGCTCCATCAAAAGAGAAAAACTCCAATATGGTCTGATTTACACATCACATCTTGTTAGCAAATAAGCTAGTGCCCCAGTCCGTTACACTGAGATTGGTTTATGTGCCAGGAGTCAAGACCTTGAAGCTAACAAAACCTATTGAGGCTAAATCCAAAGTGGTAGCATGTAGAAGCTAATCTAAGCAGGCCAGGATCAACACTACAGTAACAGTGTAGCGTTAGCTCAGGGTTTAAAGTGGTATCAATGTATTTTGCAATTAACAGATGCATAATTATGATTTGACAAATGAAATCAACAGTAGTAGCCGGCAGCTAGCCAAGCTCACATCAAGTGTGAAAACTAAATCAAGCTTCTAACAGCTACAAAGTCTTTATTGGCATTTAATTAACAGAACAGTAACAACCGGCCGCGGTGTGACGTTAGCTCAGGCTTGTATGAACCTTCCATGCTGTCAGTCAGTTACAGATTAGCTCCTCAGCTACGTTAACCGACTAACTGAAGATTAGAGTTGTAACATGTTAGCTTGAAGCACAACCTGCCTTCTCCCCATCAAAGCTTAACAGATGTCAGCTAGCTAGCTAGCTAAACTAGCCGCTGACTCAGCAGTGTTAGCTTGTGTGACAGAAACACGGCTGTTGCTTCATTAGCATTGTGACGCATATTAGCCTTTAAAAAAAAAATACATCGTCCAACAACTCAAAGTCTGTTCGATTGTTGCATCTTGTTTATTGAACAGGTGTAAAAAAGGAAACGTAAACTGTATTGTAGTTGCAGCTGTTAGCATTGGAGCTAACCATACTGTCAAGTAACTCACTTCCATGGTTCAGTTAGCGTCTAGGTCCTGCTAGCTTATTGTTAGCTTCTATCACTTGACTTTAGGCTCAGCTAAACGCATGATTACAGGATGGACGGGTGACTTTGCTTGTTAGCTAACAAGACACAACATGTAAATCCGGCAGAATGAGTTGCTGAAGGCTGTGGGTGGAGCTAAGCTAACAGTTTACTTCTGCTTTCAGTCTTTGTTCTCTGTAATTTTGGTTCTGGGTTAAAAAGAAGAGACACAACACATGTTGAACGGTTTGTTCTTTTATAAAATCACTTCGTACAAATAATAAACAACAAATATGTGGGCAGATTCAGGTGTTTTATCTGGTTTTGATTCTGTAAGAGTCTCTACACAACACCTCTCCGTCACATCAGTGATCCACGTTCAGTCCGTTGGTCGGCGTCTGTGCCAGACTCCACAGGGAACTTTTCATGTTTTAGCCCCAGGAACTACAAATCCTGTCAGCCTCCATCTCCTGCAGATCCGTTCCCTGTATTTGTTTAATTGAAGGGAAGAGGCAGCTACAACATGAACAAACTAACAGAGGACTAGTCCTTCAAAGACGTTCTGTTCCTGACGCTTCAGCCTCCAGACTTCCTCTTCAGAAGTCTTTGTAATGAAGCAACCTGAACACAGACAGACAGAAACCAGTCAGTCAACGACAGTCACGACGTTTGAGTCGGACCAGCGCTAACGGTAGCAACGTCTCAGGTACACAACACAGGTGAGCTGACGTTCACCTTTTATACTGAAGAACCGAGAAACGACCCAAACCTACTAACTTTATTACAACAAATAAATAAAACTTAAAACATATTTTTTTTAAAAAGAGGAGCCGATTGGCTGTCTGACCTGAACAGAGGGGCGTGTCCTTTGTTGTTGGCCAATGAGAAGAAGCCGCTGTGTGGAGAGAAGTCGAGGCAGCTGGTTCGATAAACAATCTTCTTCTTAGCGACGGGGAAGTTTGAGAAGACAGTGAAGCTGGGCAGGTGGACCTGAGGGGACACAACCAGGACAGGGTTCAGGTTCAGGATCAGGATCAGGGTTCACAGACGCCCAGCGGTCACGGTCGACTCACCAGGCGTACGGCCTCGTCCTCGGCTCGGGAGGCGATGGCCAGGATCTCCGACGAGGGGTTAAAGGCCAGAGAGGTCGCTGAGGTCAGCAGGTTCATCACCGCCTTCAGAGGCTTGGGATTGGCTGAATTTAGACACGCCTCCTGGGCGTACACGTTGACCACGCCCGACTGAGAGCTGAAACAGAGAGACGATCAATACTGGATGGACCAGTTTCATTATGCGACTGTGACTTTAAATCTCTTTGAGAGTTGTTATATGACCCGTGTGACCACGACCACTGAACGCCACGGTTTCTTTGTGGTCTGTCTAACAGTCAGCTAGCTATCAGCCAATCAGAGAGCAGGACAGTGTGTGGGCGTGTCTTACCCGCAGGCGAGGTACCGTCCGTTGCGCGAGGCGGCGATGGACGTTCCCTTCACGCAGCCTTCGTCTGTAAACCTGTTCAGACACCGGCTGCTGCGCGTGTCCCACACGTACACCTCCCCCTCCTCTGCACGCACACACGCACAGTTTAACCACGTGACGGACAGGAAGCTCATGTGTGATGTCACTCTCTCAAGGCGGCGGACTCACCTGAGTTGGCGAAGACTTTGCTGCCGTCGTGAGAGAAGGCGACGCCGCTGACGTCACCGTTCACCTTCATACTGCGAACCACCTCCTTCGTCTGAACACACAGGAAAAGTATTGCAATGCAAGAAAGTACACAGAGTACTGCACGCGTGTACTAACGGAAGTACACGCGTGCAGTACACAGAGTACTGCACGCGTGTACTAACGGAAGTACACACTATTTCTTCATTAGTTTTTTATTTTTGTTTTGATTTTATGATATTGGTTTTCTCTGTATTTTATTATTTTAATCGTCAAAACCCGTTCAGAGATCCTGAGGCTGAAAAACACGACAGCCGTAAAGAAATACTTGACCGACGCTGTGACATCACAGAGAAGAAGAAACTTCCTGTGTGAGTAAATCCGTCGACTCGCGAGTCCTCCAGCGTCTACAACTACACCAGCAGCAGAAGAAGAGGAGGGGGGGGCGTCACCTTGAGCGTGAGGAGGTGCAGGTATCCGTTGGTTCCCGTGAGCAGCAGAGCGCCTCCTTCAGGACACACAGAGAACTCCTTCACCCGGGCTTCATTCAGACCTGAACACAGAGCGGCGTTTAGTCTGACAGACCTGAGAGCAGCGAGGACCAAATACAGAATGACAGTGAAACATGCGGTCGATATTTACTACCAGCTAGATGCAGCGTGCTGCGTCGCATTGACAGCGTTGTGTTGGCCAGATTTGTAGGAGAGGGACGAGCGAGAGGATATGCTGCGCGAACGTGCTACGGCGCTCTGCGATCAAGTACGATTTTAAAAAGGACTAGGAAAAAAAACAAACAAATGGGACCACATGGGACCAGCGAGGACTGACGGGGACCACATGGGACCAGCGAGGACCGACGGGGACCACATGGGACCACATGGGACCAGCGAGGACGGGGACCAAGGAAGGGGACCACATGGGACCAGCGAGGACGGGGACCAAGGAAGGGGACCACATGGGACCAGCGAGGACCGACGGGGACCACATGGGACCACATGGGACCAGCGAGGACGGGGACCAAGGAAGGGGACCACATGGGACCAGCGAGGACCGACAGGAAGGGGACCACATGGGACCAAGGGGAAGGGCACCAGCGAGGACCAAGGAAGGGGACCACATGGGACCAAGGGGAAGGGGAAAGGGCGAGGACCAAGGAAGGGGACCACATGGGACCAAGGGGAAGGGGACCAGCGAGGACCAAGGAAGGGGACCACATGGGACCAAGGGGAAGGGCACCAGCGAGGACCAAGGAAGGGGACCACATGGGACCAAGGGGAAGGGGACCAGCGAGGACCAAGGAAGGGGACCACATGGGACCAAGGGGAAGGGGACCAGCGAGGACCAAGGAAGGGGACCACATGGGACCAGCGAGGACCGACAGGAAGGGGACCACATGGGACCAAGGGGAAGGGCACCAGCGAGGACCAAGGAAGGGGACCACATGGGACCAGCGAGGACCGACCGAGACCACATGAGGTCACACCCGCTAAACATTGTTAGCAGGTGTGACCCCCCCCCCCCCCCCACCCCCCCTCCCCTCTGACAGCGTGCACAGGTGTGACCCCCCCTCACCTCTGACAGTGTGGACAGGTGTGACGCGGCCCTCCATCATGTCGTACAGGTAGAACATCTTGTTCTTCAGGCTGGTGGCGATCACCGTCTCGCCGTCGCGGCTGAACTGCGCCCTGTGGACGGGGAACCGCTCCAGGTGGATGCTCTGGATCTTCGGGTTCGTCTTCCCGTCCACCTGCGGGACAGAACGCACACGTCATCGTCCCCGCCCGACTCGGAGCCCTACGCTGTCTGGGGTTAGAGAGAGCACCTGATTGGCTGCGTTTACCTGGAAGAGGGAGACCGATTGGTCGAGGCCGGCCGTCATGACGACCTGAGCGGAGGGGTGGAACTGGACCGTGGTCAGCCTGTCCTCTGACGGACGGGCGCTGTTGGCGTGAAGACATTTCTTCATCTGAGACAGGATAGAAAAAATGAACACGGTTCATCAACAGGAAGAGTTCAGGATGGCAGCGAGGAGCTCGCCGCCGCCACGGTGACTCGATTTATAACGACAGTAAAGAAGAAACCGGACTGACCCTCAGGACGCCACTGGGCAGACTGTCTGAAGACGCCACGAAGTTTCCTGTCCTCCTCAGCAGGTCGTCATCCTCTTCATCCTCCTCCTCATCGTCATCATCATCATCAGCTTCAGGAACACAGACACACGATGAGTCATGTGTTCACACACACACACACACACACACACACACACACACACCTGGACACACACACACACACACCTGGACACACACACACACACCTGGACACACACACCTGGACACACACACCTGGACACACACACCTGGACACACACACACACCTGGACACACACACCTGGACACACACACACACCTGGACACACACACACACCTGGACACACACACCTGGACACACACACACACCTGGACACACACACACACACACACACACCTGGACACACACACACACACACACACCTGGACACACACACACACCTGGACACACACACACACACACACCTGGACACACACACACACACACCTGGACACACACACACACACACACACACACTGGACACACACACACACACACACACACCTGGACACACACACACACACACACCTGGACACACACACACACACACACCTGGACACACACACACACACACACCTGGACACACACACACACCTGGACACACACACACACCTGGACACACACACACACCTGGACACACACACACACCTGGACACACACACACACACACCTGGACACACACACACACACCTGGACACACACACACACACACACACCTGGACACACACACACACTGGACACACACACACACCTGGACACACACACACACCTGGACACACACACACCTGGACACACACACACACACACACACACACCTGGACACACACACACACACACCTGGACACACACACACCTGGACACACACACACACCTGGACACACACACACACACCTGGACACACACACACACACACACCTGGACACACACACACCTGGACACACACACACACCTGGACACACACACACCTGGACACACACACACCTGGACACACACACACACACCTGGACACACACACACACACACCTGGACACACACACACACACACACACACCTGGACACACACACACACACACACCTGGACACACACACACACACACACCTGGACACACACACACACACACACACCTGGACACACACACACACACACACCTGGACACACACACACCTGGACACACACACACACGAGCTTCCTGTCCGTCACTCTTTTATTCAAACATCCTACCTTTCTTCTTCTTCTTCTTCTTGGCGTTGCTGTCCGCCCACGATGGAGTTCCTCCCATCGACTTCTGAAACCTGAAACACGCCACGTTCATCAGGTAAGTGTGTGTGTCTTCAGGTGTGCGTGTCTTCAGGTGTGCGTGTGTGTGTGTGTGTGTCTTCAGGTGTGTGTGTGTGTGTCTTCGAGTCTTCAGGTGTGTGTGTGTGTGTGTGTGTGTGTGTCTTCGTGTCTTCAGGTGTGTGTGTGTGTGTGTGTGTGTCTTCGTGTCTTCAGGTGTGTGTGTGTGTGTGTGTGTGTGTGTCTTCAGGTGTGTGTGTGTGTCTTCAGGTGTGTGTGTGTGTGTGTCTTCGAGTCTTCAGGTGTGTGTGTGTGTGTGTGTGTGTGTCTTCGTGTCTTCAGGTGTGTGTGTGTGTGTGTGTGTGTCTTCGAGTCTTCAGGTGTGTGTGTGTGTGTGTGTGTGTGTGTCTTCGTGTCTTCAGGTGTGTGTGTGCTCACTGCTCTCTCATCCTCTGCTGCAGTCTCTGATTGGACATGGTGGACTCCGCCTCCCCTCTCATCAGGTCTCTACGGTAACGGTGCTTCATGTCCACCCTGAAACACAGACGTGCGTCAGGTGTTTGACGTGAACATCGTGACCCTCACACATCACCACGACAACGTGGTGACATCACCAACACTCACTCTTCCTCCAGCTCGTCATCCTCATCCACCCAGGCGGCTTCTCCGGCCGGCCGGCGCTGCAGACGAGCCGCGTCCTCGGCCTCCGAGTCACACGACTCCTCCTTGTCTTCTTTGTCCTCCACCAATAGGCTGCCAGCCTGCTCCTCGTCCTCCTGCACAACGACAGGAAATGATGTCAGAGGAAGTTAGCTAAACGCTCCTCACTGAGAACGCAGACTCAGAGAAGAAGCAGCTGGAGGGAAAAGAACCAAACCCCATTCTAAAAGCAGACCATTTTACAATCACCACATTACGTAAACACCAGGCCATCGTTCAGTTTGGTTTTACAATGAAAATACACAGCGAACAACCTGCGGTTAATAAACTGGTTAAACGTTCTCATTGAAACCAAATCAAAGTCAGATTTTAGAAGATAACTTGTGAGCCGAACGACCCGAAACACCTGGACCAGAGTTTTTACTCTGACACAAAAACTTTTGCTCAAAACCAAACGAACACAAAATTAGCAGAATTGTGTATGAAGTCTGGTGGTGGATCTACGGCCTACATCTAGAGGTTATTTACTAAATATAGTGAGGTTTCTTATCACAGAACTAGTCAGTGGAGATTAGCAGAGAAATCATTCAAAGCTATCAATTTGTTTTCAGGCTCAAGACAATAAATTAGCAGATTTTCTGATGAAGTGAGCTGCGTAAAGCGAAAAGGAAGAAAAAAAACAAAATTTAGATTAAGCAAAAAGGAAGGGGCTTTATTGGCAATGAAAACGTGAAATAGAAACATGTACATAATCAAATCTACCTCATTTGCTTGGGATTCAAATTTGGCCCAAATCAAAAGAACATAAAATTAACAGATTTTTGAATGAAGTTTGGTGGGAAAGACCCTGAAACTGCAGTTTGCTTGTAAATAAATACTTGGATGAACTTAGCACACATTTCTGAACATTCTTGTTGTCAAACAGGTTGTTTACTTAAGGTAAACTAATTTACTGTCATTTCTTAAAAGTTATCATATTTTGTTCTCAGACAAGTACTTTTCCCATAAACAAAATGAGTAGAATTTTAAACGCAGTCTGGTGGAGAGCAGCAGCCTACAGAGAACAGTGCTGCTACAAGAGAACTGGTTGGTAACCAGAAATAACTGAAATGATTAGGAGTTTTCACATTTTGCTCTAAGACGCAGACCCTTAAATTGGCTGATTTTTGAACGGGGTCTGGTGAGCTGTTACCTCCACGAGTCTCTCCAGCAGCTCGTCCTCCGCCCCGAACACCAGCTCCTCCAGCAGCTTCACCGAGCTGTCCTTCTCTCCCAGCACCGCCAGCCTCTTCACGTTTTTCTGCCGCTTCTGTTCCTCTTCCTCCGGCTCGGACTTCGCAGGTCGACTCCTCTTCTTGGCCGCTCCTCTGTCCTCCGTCTCCGGCAGCTTGATCACGTCCTCCATGTTGTTCAGACGCGAACCAAACTCCTAACAGAATTCTACAGATTTAATCTCTATAAACGTGCGAAGCCTTAATGTTTTTCACTCAGGAGCTAATGTTTGCACATGTGCTGCACAGCCGTGTTTTCTTCATGTGCTTCCGGAAAGGCGGCCTCTGAACCCGGGAGAACACGAGCCCGCCCCCTGGTGGCCACCGACAGAAATGCAGCGTGCTCATGCATGAAATCATCTTTAATTTCACCTGTTTGTTGATCGATTTCTACATTGATTTAAGTTAAATTAATACATTAATCTCATTAATGAATGACTTGCCTAACACGTCATGGCCTCCTTCAGGACTTCAGGAAACATCACCGCAGATCCATCTCACCCCGGACACGACCTGTTCCAGCTCCTCCCCTCTGGGAGGCGCTACAGAGCTCTGTACGCCAAAACCACCAGACTCAGGAACAGTTTCTTCCCACAATCCATCACTCTGATGAACAGCTGACTCTGACTCACAGTGTCAGGAACATAATAATGAATAAACATTCATTATTCTCTATTTCAGAGCTGCTCTTACTGTCATATTGTAGAAACTGTTTCCCAATATAATATTTTTGTATTATTGTATAAGTAAGCACATCTTGATCCTGAGTCAAATTCCTCGCGTGCACAAACCTGGCAAATAAATCTGATTCAGATTCACTGATTTATTTATTTATTTGTAGAATATTTTTAGATATAAACATTTATTCTCGTGCTCCTTTTGATTTATGTAAAACTTTCTGACTTTCTAAGCTTTTATTATTTCTGTAATAAATAAAAAAATATGTTGATTCCTAAATCAAACCTGTTTACTGACGGAGGCATGCAGTGAAAAAACAACAAACTGTTTTATTAAAGTTAAAATCATTTTTTAAGCCTTCATAGATCAGTTATAGGCAAAATAATAATAATAATAATAATAAAGATGGGTTTCATGTGGTTTTTTGGATTGTAAAAGCTGAAACTCTTAATGAAACGATGTCCACACGGAAAGTTTCTTCAGTCAAAAATACTCGTAAATACTAGAATAAAATACAAAAGAAACCTAAAAACAAATACTAATAAAAACAAATAAAATACAAATAATCATATAAAATATTAAATTTCAAAATACAAAAAATAAAATACTAATAAATACAAAAACGACATTTATATTTAGTATAATTTATTCATAATACTAATAAATACTCAAATAAAATACTAATAGTAAAATTAAATATGAATAAATTCTAATTCAGACTAAAAACAAAGAGCCTTCATTCTGACTGTGTTCGTTCGATATTCAGTTATTAAAATAACGTTTATTAAAGTAGAAAGACGTCTATAAAACATTATGATTATTATAATTACATGAAGTGACTCATTATTTATTCTGTGTGTTTGTGGCGTGGAGGCTGGAGAGGAAGCGAGAGAGGAAGCAGAGGGAGGACAGAGAGTTTATTTCAGACTGCAGAGACCAGTAAGAGGGCATGCTGTTAAACCGGGTCGGTCCCGGTCCGGATCTAAAGCTACGAGCATCACTACAGTTAGAGCGTCTCCGTCACAGGAAGTCACTTCATCATCAACAACACGATTCAGAAGATTTTTACACTTTGACTCATTTACAGTTTATAAGGCAAAGGGGGGGGGGCACTTCTACTGAACATGTGCGGACGTTATCTGGGTCAAAGTGACGTCATCGTTTATTAACACTGTTATTAACTCTTATTACAGTTTGTGTTTTTAGCGTTTTGTCATGCTGGCAGCAGAGAAGCTCGTTAGAGGAGGAGCTTCGTCAGAGGAGGAGCTTCGTCAGAGGAGGAGCTTCGTCAGAGGAGGAGCTTCGTAAGCAGCGACTCCGCGGGGAGCCGAAGGTAATCGGTAACGTTAACGAGCTGCGACGTCACAAACCTTCACACTGAAATCAGTTAAACACGTTAACGGAAAAGTTCAGTCACATGATTCAAATCTCAGAGAGAAACACATGAAGAAGAAGAAGAACAGGAAGTGATGTCATCCCGTGGCACTGAGAGAAAAGGTCAATCAGACGATTAAAGTACCACCGAATAAAGTCTCAATAATGAAAATGTGTTTTATCCTCAGCAGGTTGTCACAGCGGTCATGTGACAGTCCCGCCCCCTGCTCTGCTTCTGATTGGCTAACCCCAACGAGCACTAGCCAATCAGAGGCAGAGCTGCACAAAATGTTGTGGCAAAACAAAATAATGAGAATTTTACCAGACGAAACCTGTTAAGTTCTGTGAAAACATAAAAATACTTTGATTTTTCTCCTCGTGTTGAGACTTTGTGTCGAAACAGATTTTTAATGAACTCGTCAGTTTTTAATTAAAGTCTCAAAATCAGGAGAAAAAAAGTCAGAAACAGGAAAAATCTAAAATATTAGAAACATTTTTAAGATTATTAAACGAGTTTGACATTTTGACTTCATCCTCATAAAATTACAACAGTCAGGTTCAATGAAAACACTTTGAATTATGGGTAATTATTCAACACTGCATGGAGAGAGACGCAGCGCCGGCGTCATAGCGACGAGACGAAGAAATAAAGACGACATGCAACAAGTTCAGTTTGTAGTTAGGGGACAGGAAGGAAGGAGACGAGGAGGGAGGAGGGAATGAGAGGACAGGAAGGAAGGAGACGAGGAGGGAGGAGGGAATGAGAGGACAGGAAGGAAGGAAACGAGGAGGGAGGAGGGAATGAGAGGACAGGAAGGAAGGAGACGAGGAGGGAGGAGGGAATGAGAGGACAGGAAGGAAGGAGACAAGGAGGGAATGAGAGGACAGGAAGGAAGGAGACGAGGAGGGAATGAGAGGACAGGAAGGAAGGAGACGAGGAGGGAATGAGAGGACAGGAAGGAAGGAGACGAGGAGGGAATGAGAGGACAGGAAGGAAGGAGACGAGGAGGGAGGAGGGAATGAGAGGACAGGAAGGAAGGAGACGAGGAGGGAGGAGGGAAGGAAGGAGACGAGGAGGGAGGAGGGAATGAGAGGACAGGAAGGAAGGAGACGAGGAGGGAGGAGGGAATGAGAGGACAGGAAGGAAGGAAACGAGGAGGGAATGAGAGGACAGGAAGGAAGGAAACGAGGAGGGAGTAGGGGACAAGGCAAGGAAGGAAGGAAACGAGGAGGGAGGAGGGGACAAGGCAAGGAAGGAGAGAAGGGGACGAGGGGAGGAGAGGAAGGAAGGAAGGGGACGAGGGAAGGAGAGGAAGGCAGGAAGGAGACGGGAAGGAGAGGAGGGAAGGAAGGGGACGAGGGAAGGAGAGGAAGGCAGGAAGGAGACGGGAAGGAGAGGAAGGCAGGAAGGAGACGGGAAGGAGAGGAGGGAAGGAAGGGGACGAGGGAAGGAGAGGAAGGAAGGAAGGGGACGAGGGAAGGAGAGGAAGGAAGGAAGGAGACGGGAAGGAGGGGGACGAGGGAAGGAGAGGAAGGAAGGAAGGGGACGAGGGAAGGAGGGGGACGAGGGAAGGAGAGGAAGGAAGGAAGGGGACGAGGGAAGGAGAGGAAGGAAGGAAGGAGACGGGAAGGAGAGGAGGGAAGGAAGGAGACGGGAAGGAGAAGAGAAGGGAATAAAGGAAGGAAGGAGAGGAGGAAGGAGGGAAATAAAGAAGGAGAGGAGGAGGAAAGGAAAGTAGGAAAGGAAAGCAGGAAGACTTCCTGTCTGATTGTCTGTGTCCCCCCTCAGACCAACATGGTACGGCCCGCTGAGCGGCCTGCAGCAGCAGGACGAGTCGGGTGAGTTCGTTTTGTCCGTCTTGGCACTTAAAGACTCGTCCTGCTCAGAAACCGATCCGGGTTCGTGTCGGAGGTCACGTCCCGCCAAAATAAAGCGCGTCGTCCCGACATCACCAGGACAGGTGTGTCTGCTGACGGTGACGCAGGCGAGTATGTACAGATGTTTCCACGCGGCGTCCTGCCCGAGAGGAAACTGCTCTTCCTTCAGTTTCAGACAGGAACAAGGACTTTCTTTTGGGACCCTTTCAGGTCCAGGTCTAAGTCCAGGTCCAAGTCCAGGTCCAGGTCCAGGTCCGAAACTCCACAGGGACCTTTAGGTACGTGGTTAGCTTAGCTTAGCATAAAGACTGGAAACAGGGGGGACAGGTAGCCTGCTTCAGTCCAGAGTTTCAATCAAACAGCAAAATGAAACGAAACGATCTGCTGTTGGTGAACGCGTTTCCACGGTGACAGGTCAACCAATGACGCTTCTTCACATGTTAAACAAATAAAAATACATGAAGACAAACGTGTCGATTAAAAAAGCAGAAGAAGAAACAAGAAGCCATGTAGCGGCGGCGAGCCGGGCCGAGCGTCCCGGCAGGAGCGCTCAGCTCCGAGCCGCCGCTGCTTCTTCTCCCCCGCTCGCTCTTCAAACGAAAAGTGCAAATGAAATGAAAACCCTCGGGGTCGTTCTGTCCGGAGAAGAAGAAGCTGAAGAGCGGGCGGCTCCTCTTCATCAGCTCAGCTAGTCACATGATCAGACCTCAGCCAGTCAGATCAGACCTCTCCCTCAGCCAATCAGCTGTGAGCGTAGATGAGGCGGTGATGTTGAGGATGGCGATGCTGGACGTGATGTCATCAAACAGGATGGCGGTGTGTGTGTGTGTGTGTGTGTGTGTGTGTGTGTGTGTGTGGTCCAGCTGTGGTTGTTGTCATGGTTCACCTCCCGACAGGAGGAAGGGGCGGAGCTCCTCTCATCACTGCAACAAACAAACAAACAAACAAACAAACAAAGAGCTGATGAAACAGCGGCGCAGCCTCAGGCCGAACGCTCGTTCTTCCGCTGCGTTTCCACCGCAGGAACCAGGACCTGCATTCAGTTCTGGGGTCTTAATCTAACCCCCAAGTACCCCGTGCTCGGGTTGTTATGCCCGCCGTTATGTGCGTTTCCCTCTGGCGGTGGAAACACCAGCGGGCTGAAGGAACCTTGTAGCTCCTTCAGCAGGAGATCCTGAGACTGTGTTCCTTCAGCCCGCTGTTGCCGTTTCCAGCGCGGTCTGAAGACCTGCGAAGATTAGGCAGATTAACCAGCTGACGTAGGCGGTAGGCCCGCACGCCGCACACAGCGATGCAGGCATCATTATTTGTAACCACGATGCACGAGCAACATTTATAACGACAAACTACAGAGCAGAGAGAGAGAAACACAAACACAAAGTGCCGACAGTTTGGAATTAAAACATTTGCCACATTGTACTGTGTGTACTGCAGTACTGCGTGTACTGCGTGTACTGCGTGTACTGTAGTACTGCAGTACTGCGTGTACTGCAGTACAGGGCATGTACCTCTGTTGGCCTTGCTGGGGTAGATCTTGGCGAAGTGTCGATACTCTTCTGGAGGAGGGAAGTCGTCCAGAGGATGAAACGAGTACTTGGACTCAAAGTCGTCTGCAGGAGGAAGAGACGAGTTTATTTTCCAGCTTCGGTTTGAGAAACAGACAAATTCAGTTTCCAACAAACTCTGAGGTGAAAGAGAGACGAAGGAGAAGAGACGAGAGCACGGAGAGACAAAGGAGAAGAGACGAAGGAGAAGAGACGAGAGCACGGAGAGACAAAGGAGAAGAGAAGGAGAAGAGACGAGAGGACGGAGAGACGAGAGCACGGAGAGACGAGAGCACGGAGAGACGAGAGCACGGAGAGACGAGAGCACGGAGAGACGAAGGAGAAGAGACGAAGGAGAAGAGACGAGAGGACGGAGAGACGAGAGGACGGAGAGACAAAGAGAAGAGACGAGAGGACGGAGAGACGAGAGGACGGAGAGACGAGAGGACGGAGAGACAAAGGAGAGAGACGAGTTTATTTTTCCAGCTTCGGTTTGAGAAACAGACAAATTCAGTTTCCAACAAACTCTGAGGTGAAAGAGAGACGAAGGAGAAGAGACGAGAGCACGGAGAGACAAAGGAGAAGAGACGAAGGAGAAGAGACGAGAGCACGGAGAGACAAAGGAGAAGAGACGAAGGAGAAGAGACGAGAGGACGGAGAGACGAGAGCACGGAGAGACGAGAGCACGGAGAGACGAGAGCACGGAGAGACGAAGGAGAAGAGACGAAGGAGAAGAGACG